AAGGAAATTGTTTCAAATTTGTTATTTACAGAAAATAAAGTAAAGGAATATTAGACGGTTCAAAAACAATAGCAGTGAGTGCATTTTTCTTTACAAACTCAAACATTGACTGAATAAACTGAAAACTGAGAATTTTGCTTTCCTGTACAAATATTTGGTTGTAGTCGCACTGTTTCTGAGAACTGCTGTACATCTGTGTTGCATGGAGTCACCCAACTGCTGGCACCCTGTGAACAGTGTATTCCAGCCCTAGATTAGGAAAAAAAAAAAAAAAAACCCCAGCATTTTTGATGTCACCCCACAAGTTTTTTTTTTTTTTTTTTTTTTTTGTATAGGATTAAGGTCCGGGGATTGGGCTGGCCACTCCATAACATTGATCTTGTATGTTTGGAACCAAGATGCTGCTCACTTACTGGTGTGTTTGTGGTCGTTGTCTTGTTGAAACATTTTAAACCCTTGACGCCGACGTCACACAAATATGCGGCCTTAGAGAACTAGGCTTTTTTCCGTGGAGCCACATATTTGTGCACCTGTCTTTGTGCTGGGACCGCACTGCACAGTGCGCTATCAGCACACAGACCAGAGTGTCCCTTTGAGCCCGGGTCCCATTCTAATGATCGGGACCTGGGACTCCCGATTCTAGGTCACATGATTGCAAATTGGCTATCACAGTGATCAGTCACTGTGAAGCCCGCCCCCCTTGGTTTTTTTTTTTTTTTTTTCCTCTCTGAATGGAGGATAGAGATGCATTGTGTGTCTCTCGTCCTCCCTCTCTCTTGTCCTCCCTCTCTCTTGTCCTCCCTCTCTCTTGTCCTCCCTCTCTCTTGTCCTCCCTCTCTCTCGTCCTCCCTCTCTCTCGTCCTCCCTCTCTCGTCCTCCCTCTCTCGTCCTCCCTCTCTCGTCCTCCCTCTCTCGTCCTCCCTCTCTCGTCCTCCCTCTCTCGTCCTCCCTCTCTCGTCCTCCCTCTCTCGTCCTCCCTCTCTCGTCCTCCCTCTCTCGTCCTCCCTCTCTCGTCCTCCCTCTCTCGTCCTCCCTCTCTCGTCCTCCCTCTCTCGTCCTCCCTCTCTCGTCCTCCCTCTCTCGTCCTCCCTCTCTCGTCCTCCCTCTCTCGTCCTCCCTCTCTCGTCCTCCCTCTCTCCCCCCGCATAGAGGAAAAAAAAACTGTAAAAAAAAAAAAAAAAAATTCATAAATATTAAAAAATAAAAAAAAAAATACCTAGACCAAGGTTTGCTCTAGTTCAGTGCCAGGGTTAGTGTTCGGGTCAAGGTCAAAGATCAGGATTTTTTTTTTTGTCAGTGTGTTTTAGGTAATAAAAAAACAAAACAAAACAAAATGCGCACTATTGTTTCTGGGCTGTACTACGGGTACAAACAACAAATAATATACACATATATGGTATCGGTGTGATCGTCAAGAGCTGGAAAATTTATTTTGGGTTGTTCTTTGGTGATAGGTTATGGTAGTAATAAGAAACGCACAGCTAAATTTAACTTTTTTTTTTTTTTTATATTTTGGGCCAGTTTACCTTTTGATAATAATAATACAAAAAAAATCAGATATCCGTTCTCATTTACCACCAAATGAAAGCCCAATTTGTCCTGAAAAAAAACAAATATAATCTACCTGGATGTACAAAGTAGTTGTGTGATATGTACGATTTTACTAACAACATGTCAAAGTTGTGAAATTTTACTTGGGCTTTAAGGTTTATTTATACTCTTAGGCGTGTGAAGGGCATTTCCTCTTCAGCATAAGGCAGCATGACCTCTTCAAGTATTCTGATGTATTCAAACCTGATCCATGATCCCTGGTATGCGATAAATAGGCCCAACACGTTAGTATGAGAAACATCCCCATATCATGATGCTTTCACCACCATGCTTCACTGTCTTCACAGTGTACTCTGACTTGAATTTCAGTGTTTGGGGGTCGTCTGACAAACTGTCTCCGGCCACTAGACCCAAAAAGAGTATTCTTACTTTCATCAGTCCACAAAATGTTGCGCCATTTCTCTTTAGGCCAGTCAATGTGCTCTTTGGTAAAATTGTAACCTCTTCAGCACGTCGTTTTTTTTTTTCAACAATGAGACTTTGCGGGGAATGCTTGCCGATAGCTTGGCTTCACAATAAGAAATGAAAATCCACAAGAAGGAGATTTGTGGTATACACAAATAAATCAATATCAAGTTTAAAGCCGTATTAAACACAAAAATGTGATATATAGCATATTCCCCCAATCAGATGTTGTGGCTGCATTTGTTTTCTTGTTTAGCTTTTTTTTTTTTTTACCCTTTATTTCACTGGTGATCTGGACATTTTCCATCTTAGAATATCTCCACTCCACTAGAGTAGCTAAGGAGACACCCCTTGGACAGCAGCATTGTCAGTCTGGGAGAGGGTGAGGGTAGTCAGATTTACGGGTGCCTTGAAGAAGGATTCATACCCCTTGATATTTTCCACATTTTGTCATGTTATAACCAAAAACGTAAATGTATTTTATTGGGATTTGATGTGATAGACCAACACAAAGTGGAATATAATTGTGAAGTGGAAGGAAAATGATAAATGGTTTTCAAATTTGTTTTACAAATAAACATCTGAAAAGTGTGGCGGCATTTGTATTCAGCCCCCCGGAGTCAATACTTTGTAGGACCCCCTTTCCGCTGCAGTTCCAGCTGCAAGTCTTTTTGGGGATGTCTCTACCAGCTTTGCACATCTAGAGAGGGACATTTCTGCCCATTTCTTCTTTGCAAAATAGCTCAAGCTCTGTCAGATTGGATGGAGAGCGTCTGTGAACAGCAATTGTCAAGTCTTGCACAGATTCTGCATTGGATTTATGTCTGGAGTTTGACTGGGCCATTCTAACACATGAATATGCTTGGATCTAAAACCAGCGGTGTCAAACTGGTGGCTCTACAATATATGCGAAACTACAAGTCCCATCATGCATGTACCTTTGTGAGTCATGATTGTAACTGTAAATCTTGCAATGTCACATGGGACTTGTAGTTTGGCCTCCAGTTTGACACCTGTGATCTAAACCATTCCATTGTAGCTCTGGCTGGATGTTTCGGGTCGTTGTCCTGCTTGAAGGTGAACCTCGGCCCCAGTCTCAGGTCTTTTGCAGACTCTAACAGGTTTTCTTCTAGGATTGCCCTGTATTTGGCTCCATCCATCTTCCCATCAACTCTGACCAGCTTCCTGATTCTGCTGAAGAAAAGCATCCCCACAACATGATGCTACCACCACCATGTTTCACGGTGGGGATGGTTTGTTCAGGGTGATGTGCAGTGTTAGTTTTCCGCCACACACAGCATTTTGCTTTTAGGCCAAAAAGTAAAATTTTGGTCTCGTCTGACCAGACCATCTTTCACATGTTTGCTGTGTCCCCCACATGGCTTCTCGCAAACTTCAAATGGGACTTTTTTTGACTTTCTTTCAACAATGTCTTTCTTCTTGCCCCTCTTCCATGAGAGGAGGAAATTTAAAGGCCAGATTTGTGGAGTGCACGAGTTAATAGTTGTCCTGTGGACAGATTCTCCACCTGAGCTGTGGATCTCTGCAGCTCCTCCAGAGTTCCCATGGGCCTCTTGGCTGCTTCTCTGATGAATGCTCTCCTTGCCCGGCCTATCAGTTTAGGTGGACGGCCATGTCTTGGTAGGTTTGCAGTTGTGCTATACTCTTCATTTGTGGATGATGGATTGAACAGTGCTCCAGGATTACCACTAGAGATGTTCAAAGCTTGGGATATTTTTTATAACTTAGCCCCTGCTTTAACTAAACTTTATTTACTAATTAGGTGACTTCTGGAGGCAGTTGATTCCACTAGATTTTAGGGTATCAGAGTAAAGGGGTCTGAGTACAACTGCCACACCACACTTTTAAGATATTTATTTGTAAAACATTTTGAAAACCATTTAGCTTTTCCCTTCCACTTCACAATTATGTGCCAATTTGTGTTGGTCTATCATATAAAATTCTTTTTTAACCAGATTTTTAACTTTTCCTGGAATTTCTAGTATTCAAATCAAAATGTTGAATTGATTAGATTTTATTGTGTGGCTCTATTCTAAATAAAAAATTTGGGAAGGTGGATATATTCTTACATAGTTAGTCTGGCTGTAAAAATACAAAAGTCCATCCAGTTCAAGCATAAAAAAAAAGTTAACCTCTATACCCACAGTTGATCCAGAGGAAAAGCCAAAAACCCAGCAAAGCATGATCCAATTTGGTTCTGCAGGGAAATAAATTCCTTCCTGATCCCCCGAGAGGCAATAGGATATTCCCTGGATCAACTTTACCTAATGTTATATCCAGCTTTTTCTGTGAATCTAAGAAAGAATCCAGGACTTTTTTTAAAGCAATCCGCTGAGCTGGCCATACAGTCTGTTACAAAGGTGAAATACAATAATAATGAAGACAAAAATGGGGAAACCATCCATCTGGATCGCCTGGTATTTGCGCACAGAGTAGCCATCAAAATGTTTACATGATATCGATAAAAGAACCCAAAATGGTCCCAATGAAAATATAAACAAAATGCATAAATGTAGGTATATGTCATACCGAATACATGGTGGCTACCCCCAGTCTCTGAATCCATCTGGTCTCCTGTGAAGGTCTGCATAGCATCATCCAATGGTATATATATAAATCTTTGGGTTTGATTTACTAAAACTGGAGAGTGCAAAATCTGGTGCAGCTCTGCATAGAAACCAATTAACTTTACATTTTTTTTGGTCAAAGCTTAATTGAACAAGCTAAAGCTAGAAGCTGATTGGCTGCCATGCACAACTGCACCAGATTTTGCACTCTCAAGTTTTAGTAAATCAGCCCCCTTGTGTATGAATTTATTTCCAGCACAGCCCCAAAGTATAGACAAGACAAAATGTGGCAGTGTAGAAACGGCTTCAGATGGTAATCGCAGCACAAAGAGGTGTTATCAGTTTCTCTTTTTTCTGTAATTTTCTAACTGTTGCACATATTTTTTTTTTCTTTCTGTAGCAATTTGTAAGACTGGTGCCCTCCGCTCTACAAAGTACAGTGGACAGAGAATGGTGAGTAGCCTCTGCTCCTGGCGTTTGCTGGAAAAGCAGACATTATAATTATAAGAACACATTAAGGATTTTGTTTTTTTTTTAATTCTGGAGATTGCCTTTTAAATATTAAAGATAAAGTGTAATGTACTCTTATAATGCATTCCCTTGTTCCCTCTCTCCCCTCGATAAATATGCACTTAAAATTTTTCATTCAAATCATTTTGTGCTCAAGAAACAACTCTCTTGAGATGCAGTAAAGTAATCACTTGGCCTTTCTGCTGGTCTTTGGTCCAGTTTGCTGGGAAAAGCTGACAGGCCCCTGAAAACATCACAGCACCCTGCCCCACATCTTCTTTCAACATATCCCTGGTGTCTATTTAGGTGTAAATGCAATTTCTCCTGTGCTCCGGGACCCAGGCTGGTGGTGAGTAGATCAAATCCCAACAAAACAACCAATGGGGCATACAAGGTCGTGCAGCTCCAAACCAAGGCTGGGGAAGCCCGAACAGAACTGTGAAGTAAAACAAGAAGAAGCGCACCAATTTTGCGCATTACCTCAGTAACCAAATTTATTTAGTAAAAGAATGGTACTCACAAACAGCGAATAAAAACAGGCATGTAAGTCCTCCCAGGGACTTCAAAGGCAAGAGGCCAGCGCGAATCCCATCATGTGGGTGGACACTCAGTACAGCTGATGCGTTTCGAAGGTCATGCCTTCTTCCTCAGAGCTGACTGGACTGAGAGTGTAGGTTCCCATTTATACCCCCAGACTGAAATAAAGCCCTCCCCTAAAGGGTTGGGCTGTCCTGGGCAGAGGGGAGGGACCAGGGTGTCAACAAAGTGCAGTAACTAGTCATCAGAATATATATAAAACCCAATATACATAATGAACATACAATGTGTATAAATATATAATAAATAATATAATGATAAATAGTTCATTACTAAACGCAGCTTAAAAATGCAAGAGTAAAAATAAATATTATCATTACCTTGATGGGCAGGTAAGGACATAGAGGAACTCGCACAGCAACATGCACCATAAATAACCAGTAATTTAAAAATTGTTCATAAAAGGTGGGCAATTCAGCCAGAGTGCTTGCTTGAAATGGGAACCTACACTCTCAGTCCAGTCCGCTCTGAGGAAGAAGGCATGACCTTCGAAACGCGTCAGCTGTACTGAGTGTCCACCCCATGATGGGATTTGCGCTGGCCTCTTGCCTTTGAAGTCCCTGGGAGGACTTACATGCCTGTTTTTATTCGCTGTTTGTGAGTATCATTCTTTTACTAAAATAAATTTGGTTACTGAGGTAATGCGCAAGGTTGGTGCGCTTCTTCTTGTCTATTTAGGTGTGCATGCTCTTCCTTGCTGGCCACTCGGGCTGCAGACTTTAGGTCTGCAATCTGATGATCAGTTGCTTAATCATGCACATCTAAAAGACAAACATTCGGGTTTAGCGCTGATCCTAAAAAGGTAAAGTATTGTAACCCCCTCAATTGGAGTGTATTTTCTATATGATGGGTTTGGATCACTGAAATACCAAAAAATTTTCCATACTGCAGGACACCTTCCTAGAATTGAGGAAATGAATGAGATGATCCTTGAGAGTCCTAACATCCTACAGAACGTCCTCCCTTGTTGAGTGTAGATCAGGTGAGTGTGGTGGAAAACATCAGATACAACAAGGATCTCCTCAGCTGATTCCACAAAGTGAGTGGATGAAGATGAATTAAAATTCCTAGTCAAAAAATGTGAAGTGGTAAGTAACTATTTTTGAATGAGGTGCTATAGTGCACCTCCTCCAGAATTTTTATTGTATACTGCACTTATAGTGTATTCAATACCTGTATTTGCATCCAACATTCCAAATGGAATATTGACCCACACTCAACAAGGGAGGGCGCTCTGTAGGACGTAAGGACTCCCAAGGATCATCTCATTCATTTCCTCAGTTCTAGGAAGGAGGAAGGTGTCCTGTAGTACGGGAAGGTTTTTTGGTATTTCAGGGATCCAAACCCATCATATAGAAAATACACTCCCATTGAGGGGGTTACAATACTTGACCTTTTTAGGATCAGCGCTACACCCTAATGTTTATATGTATTCTAGTTCGTGTGATAGGTGTTAGCAGCAGCCCTCACCGTTGCACAGTACCAATTTATTTAACAGCTAAAAGAACGCCAACGATGTGTTCTTTCATATAATGCTTTGGAACAAAATGATTGCAGGCCGAGAAATGGTTTAGATGTAAGTGGGGGCGCGCACAAGACAGTACAAATCAGTGTGGGGAAGGCGCGCAACAAACAGTACAGATCAGTGTGTGGGGGGAGGGCGCGCAACAACAGTACAGATCAGTGGGGGAGGGCGCGCGCAAAACAACAGTACAGATCAGTGGGGGGAGGGCGCGCAACAACAGTACAGATCAGATCAGTGTGTGGGGAGGGCGCGCGCAACAACAGTAGAGATCAGTGTGGGGAAGGCGCGCAACAACAGTAGAGATCTGTGTGCGGGGAGGGCGCGCAGCAGCAACAGTACAGATCAGTGTGGGGAGGGCGCGCAGCAACAGTACAGATCAGTGTGGGGGAGGGCGCGTAGAACTACAGTACAGTGTGGGGGAGGGCGCGCAAGCAACAGTACAGTGGGGTTGAGAGGCGCGCGCAACAACAGTAGAGATCAGTGTGGGGAGGGCGCGCAGCAACAGTACAGATCAGTGTGGGGAGGGCGCGCAACAACAGTAGAGATCAGTGTGCGGGAAGGGCGCGCAACAACAGTAGAGATCAGTGCGGGGAGGGCGCGCAACAACAGTACAGATCAGTGTGGGGAGGGGCGCGCGCAGCAACAGTACAGATCAGTGCGGGGAAGGCGCGCAGCAACAGTACAGATCAGTGCGGGGAGGGCGCGCAGCAACAGTAGAGATCAGTGCGGGGGGGGCGCGCAACAACAGTACAGATCAGTGCGGGGACGGGCGCGCAGCAACAGTAGAGATCAGTGCGGGGAGGGCGCGCAACAACAGTAGAGATCAGTGCGGGGGAGGGCGCGCAGCAAACAGTAGAGATCAGTGCGGGGGAGGGCGCGCAACAACAGTAGAGATCAGTGCGGGAGGGGCGCGCAACAACAGTAGAGATCAGTGCGGGGAGGGCGCGCAACAACAGTAGAGATCAGTGCGGGGAGGGCGCGCAACAACAGTAGAGATCAGTGCAGGGGGAGGGCGCGCAACAACAGTAGAGATCAGTGCGGGGGAGGGCGCGCAACAACAGTAGAGATCAGTGCGGGGGGGGCGCAAGCAACAACAGTAGAGATCAGTGCGGGGGGAGGGCGCGCAACAACAGTAGAGATCAGTGCGGGGAGGGCGAGCAACAACAGTAGAGATCAGTGCGGGGAGGGCGCGCAACAACAGTAGAGATCATGGGGGAGGGCGCGCAACAACAGTAGAGATCAGTGCGGGGAGGGGCGCAATGAAACAGTAGAACAGTGCGGGGAGAGGGCGCGCAACAAAAGTAGTAGAACAGTGCGGGGGGCGCGCAACAACAGTAGGGGGGTGGCGCGCAACAAACAGTAGAGATCAGTGCGGGGAGGGCGCGCAACAACATTTTAGAGATCAGTGCGGGGAGGGCGCGCAACAACAGTAGAGATCAGTGCGGGGAGGGCGCGCAACAACAGTAGAGATCAGTGCGGGGAGGGCGCGCAACAACAGTAGAGATCAGTGCGGAGGAGGGCGCGCAACAACAGTAGAGATCAGTGCGGGGGAGGGCGCAACAACAGTAGAGATCAAGTGCGGGGAGGGCGCGCAACAACAGTAGATACTCAGTGCGGGAGGGCGCGCAACAACAGTAGAGAGTGCGGGGAGGGCGCGCAACAACAGTAGAGATCAGTGCGGGGAGGGGCGCGCAACAACAGTAGAGATCAGTGCGGGGAGGGCGCGCAACAACAGTAGAGATCAGTGCGGGGAGGGCGCGCAACAACAGTAGAGATCAGTGCGGGGGAGGGCGCGCAACAACAGTAGAGATCAGTGCGGGGAGGGCGCGCAACAACAGTAGAGATCAGTGCGGGGAGGGCGCGCAACAACAGTAGAGATCAGTGCGGGGGGGCGCGCAACAACAATAGAGATCAGTGCGGGGAGGGCGCGCAACAACAGTAGAGATCAGTGCGGGGAGGGCGCGCAACAACAGTAGAGAGATCAGTGGGGAGGGCGAGCGGCAACAACAGTAGAGATCAGTGCGGGGAGGGCGCGCAACAACAGTAGAGATCAGTGCGGGGAGGGCGCGCAACAACAGTAGAGATCAGTGCGGGGAGGGCGCGCAACAACAGTAGAGATCAGTGCGGGGAGGGCGCGCAACAACAGTAGAGATCAGTGCGGGGGAGGGCGCGCAACAACAGTAGAGATCAGTGCTGGGGGGGAGGGTGCGCAACAACAGTAGAGATCAGTGCGGGGAGGGCGCGCAACAACAGTAGAGATCAGTGCGGGGAGGGGCGCGCAACAACAGTAGAGATCATGTGGGGGGGAGGGCGCGCAACAACAGTAGAGATCAGTGTGGGGGGGAGGGCGCGCAACAACAGTAGAGATCAGTGTGGGGGGAGGGCGCGCAAAACAACAGTAGAGATCAGTGTAGGGCGCGCAACAACAGTAGAGATCAGTGTGGGGGGAGGGCGCGCAACAACAGTAGAGATCAGTGTGGGGGGAGAGGCGGCAAAAACAGTAGAGATCAGTGTGGGGGGAGGGCGCGCAACAACAGTAGAGATCAGTGTGGGGGGGAGGGCGCGCAACAACAGTAGAGATCAGTGTGGGGGGAGGGGGCGCGCAACAACAGTAGAGATCAGTGTGGGGGGAGGGCGCGCAAACAACAGTAGAGATCAGTGTGGGGGGAGGGCGCGCAACAACAGTAGAGATCAGTGTGGGGGGGGAGGGCGCGCAACAACAGTAGAGATCAGTGTGGGGGAGGGCGCGCAACAACAGTAGAGATCAGTGTGGGGGGAGGCGCGCAACAACAGTACAAGATCAGTAGGCGCAACGAAACAACAGTCAGATCAGTGTGGGGGGAGGGCGCGCAACAACAGTAGAGATCAGTGTGGGGGGAGGGCGCGCAACAACAGTAAGATCAGTGTGGGGGGAGGGGTCGCGCAACAACAGTAGAGATCAGTGTGGGGGGGAGGGCGCGCAACAACAGTAGAGATCAGTGTGGGGGGAGGGCGCGCAACAACAGTAGAGATCAGTGTGGGGGGAGGGCGAAGGGCGCGCAACAACAGTAGACAGATCAGTGTGGGGGGAGGGCGCGCAACAACAGTACAGAGCAGTGTGGGGGGACGGCGCGCAACAACAGTACAGATCAGTGTGGGGAGGGGATTGATGATAAATTGAAGTTGTTCAGATGGAATTAAGCATAGCTCATGATAGCTGCTGCAGCTTCAAAGGCTTTTTGTTGTGGAGGTTCAAGAGAATCGAGAGATATTAGTTTTAATCACGGGAGAGGACAAGTGGTAAATCTTCATATGGGCTCCACCATGATAATCCACTCCACCATGGACCCCACACCTGAAGGCTTACCAGAAAGGTTTGACCCCAAATCATGAGAAGTCAAAATGCACTTGATGGATGAATAGCAATAGAGCTAATGAACTGATCCTCTTCTCAACCTCCCTCCAAGGAGAGGTTGAGAACAAACGTCACCACAAACGGACAAAACGTTTAAGGCTGACGCCGTGACGTCACCACACATGAGAGTTGCATCTTGGTATATGCTGTTTGTTTGGTGCTGATAGTATCTGCTTTGATGTAAGCGTTTATAACCATTTTAAATAAAAATGTGTCCCTGGATTTTACACTGTTTAGAGCGTGGGGCTCTTCTTTCTCTTCCTATATGTGTGGCCCTTGGAGGGAGGTTGAGAAGAGGATCAGTTGATTCTTATACCCGCTGTGCTGCTAGTTATCCATCAGGCACATTTTGACCTCTCATAGTTTTGGGGTCAAATCTTTCTGGTGCATGTTACTATTGCAGCCCCCCCAGCAGAAAATGCTTCCTCAAGCTGTCTATAGTGCTGGCTGAGTGCCCATAAGCTGCATGATGATGTGATATCGAAGTTCTCTCATTACAAGTTAATTATAGATCTGCTTTAACAATGCCAAGCCTTTCACCTCTGAGATTTGTGAAGGCCGTCCTGTGACCAGACTGAGCATTCAAGTATTAATGTGCGGACGTGTAAGGGCTTGTTCATACTATGTGTGGTGGGCTGGAGTGTTTCTGTGCTTCATCAATGCCAGTCACTACAAGGGCAGATACAATACAGTCATGGCCAAAAATATTGTCCCTCCATTTTTATCAGACAATGCACTACTTCACCCAGAAAATTGCTAATTTGTAGGAATTCTCATGTTTATTTCTTTTGTTTGTATTGGTATGACACAAAAAAAAGTGGAGAAACAAAAAGCCAAATCTGACACATTCCACACACAACCCCAAAAATGGACTGGACAAAATAATTGTCACCCTCAATTTAATTTATTATTATTACAGGTACTTTTATCGTGCTGTAAATTTACGCAGCACTTTACCTGCACGCATTGTACTTTTTACATCAGTCCCTAACTCTCAAGGAGCGTACAATCGAAGGTCACTAACTCACATTCAATCATACACATACTAGGTCCAATTTACCTACCAGCATGTTTTTGGAGTGTGGAAGGAAACCCAGAGTACCCGGAGGAAATTTACATAGGCACAGGAAGAACATGCAAACTCCAGGTAGATGGTACTGTGGTTGGGATTCGAACCAACTACCCTAGTGCTGCCAGGTGGAAGTGCTAACCATTTAGCCACTGTACTGGCCTTTTTGGTAGCATGCCCCTGGGAAAAAAAATAACTGAACTCAGTCGCTTCTTTCACCTCTCTACTAGAATTGTGGACCACTCTTCTATCACCAACTGCTCCAGGTCACTCAGATTGGAAGAGTTCCTTTTCCAAACTGCTGTTTTGAGATCTCTCCACAGGTGCTCTATGGGATTGAGATTTGGTCAGATTGCTGGCCCATCTTAGTACTCTCCAGTGCTTTGTATGAAACTATTTCTGAGGGCATTTTGACATGTGCTTTGGGTCATTGTCCTGCTGTAAGATCCATGACCTCTGATGGAGACCCAACTTTTTGACATCGGGCCCTACACTGCACCTCATAATTCTTTGGTTGTCTTCAGATTTCATAATGCCATGCACACGGCCAAGAATCCAGTGCCAGAAGCAGCAAAGCAACCCCAAAACATCAATGACCCTCCACAATGTTTGACTGTAGGGACTGTGTCCATAATTTTCAGAAAATGTAGTGAGGCCTTTAAAGAGAAGCATATTCTGCCAAAAGGTTTTTGGGTTCCTCAGGTAAGTTTTGTCTAACTCCAACCTGGCTTTTTTTATGTTTCTGTGTCAGCAGTGGGATCCTCCTGGGTCTCCTACCGTAGCGTTCCTTTTCATTCAGATGGTAACGTATAGTGTGAGCTGACACAGTTGTGCCTGAAGGTCAGCTTGAATTTGGAAGTTGACTGAGATTATTTAGCCACCATTCGAACAATCCTTCTTTGCAATCTTTGATCAATTTTTCTCTTTCGTCCACGTCCAGGGAGGTTAGCTACAGAGCCACGGGCTGTAAACTTCTTGACAATGTTGCGCACAGTGGATACAGGAACATTAAGATCTGTTAGTTGATACAGGTGAGTTTAATGAAAAATTACAGGAGCATCACAAACTTGGAATGCAGTAATTTCTTACAATTTTGAGAAGGTGCCAATTTTGTCCAGTCCGTTTTGGGAGTTTTCTGTGGAATGTGTCAGATTTGGCTTTTTGTTTCTCTGCTTTTTTGTGTCTAACCAATACAAACAAAAGAGATAAACATGAGAATGCCTAAACATTTGTAATTGCAACGATTTTCTGGGCAAAGTGGTGAATTATCCGCCAGAAATGCAGGGGTGCAATGATTTTTTAGTTTTCTATCTGCCCTGTCTGCATTACAATTCTGCCTTGAGGTGGGCTGCAGTGTGCTGTATAAAAATGTAGAAATGCTGCATTTTTCGCCAGGCACTGGAGCTCACCTAAAGTCACCATAATTTTTCTGCTCTGCAGCTCAGGTGCACAGAAATTGAAAAAATATCACTTTGGCATTAAACTTAATTTAAAGAAAAGTTAACAATGCCTTGCTTTGTAATAATGCAAGGCACTGCCCCGCTAGCACCAGCACACAATGGAGACCAGCCTGCATGCCGAAATGGACAGTTTTTGTTCGCATCAATAACCATGTGTGTTGTTTTTTCTCTTTATGAAGGATGTAGGTGTTAAGGATTTTGAGGATGTCGCTGTGTACTTTTCTGAGGAGGAATGGCGCACCCTACGTGAAGAACAGAAGAAGAATCTTTACAAAGATGTGATGATGGAAAATTACCAGGCCCTGAGCTCCCTTGGTAAGAGGATGTTTCACAAAGGTTGGTGTATCTCAACTGTTACACAGCAAACAAAATGTAGATATCTGAAAGTTATAAAAAAACTTGCTGTGAAAGAGACTATAAGTAATGTCATTTAAGTGGGATTCCAACCCCCCCAGCCCCTGAAACCCAGGCTAGTGTTTGGGGATACTCCCTCTACTCTTGTGGTGGCGTAATGATGTCTGAGAGCTGTTCAGTGCTCTGTGCCCAAGCCAGTGGGATGATGTGCCCCCCCCCCCCCCCCCCCCCTGCATAGGCTCAGGGTAAGTTGATTACACAGAGGTGGACTCTATTTAATTAGGTGACCTTTGAAGGCAATTGGTTCCACTAGATTTTACTTAGAGGTATCAGAGTAAAGGGGGCTGAATACAAATGTACGCCACACTTTTCAGACATTTATTTGCAAAAAATTTTGAAAAACCATTTATCGCTTTCCTTCCACTTCACAATTATGTGCCACTTTGTGTTGGTCTATCACATAAAATCCCAATAAAATACATTTAAATTTTGGTTGTAACATGACAAAATGTGGAAAATTTCAAACGGTATGAATACTTGTGAGTGTGCGTTCATATGAATAAGTACATCCCATGGAAATTTGTTTTTTTTTTTTTTTTTTTCCTCAATATATTTCAACAGGCAAACCTTAGATCTTCATTGAAACAGTGCCCACAGATAAAGGTGATATACCTGAACAAGTGACAAAATTGACGTGGTGCATTCATTCTCATAATCTAGATCAGGAGTCTCCAGACTTTCTAAACAAAGGGCCAGTTTACTGTCCTTCAGACTTTGGGGGGGCTGGGGGCAGATTGTGGCCAGTGGGGGTAGATCATGTCCCAGCATCAGTAGGAGTAAAGCATGTCTCAGGTTTGGTGGTCGTTGGTAGTAAAAAAAAAAAAAAAAAATACATAGCACCTGTGGTCAGTAGGAGAAGGTGCCCCTTGTTGATGTTGGAGGAGTAGTAGCCCATCATTGGTATCAGTGGGAGGAATAGTGGCCCATCATTGGTATCAGTGGGAGGAATAGTAGCCCATCATTGGTATCAGTGGGAGGAATAGTAGCCCATCATTGGTATCAGTGGGAGGAATAGTAGCCCATCATTGGTATCAGTGGGAGGAATAGTAGCCCATCATTGGTATCAGTGGGAGGAATAGTAGCCCATCATTGGTATCAGTGGGAGGAATAGTAGCCCATCATTGGTATCAGTGGGAGGATTAGTAGCCCATCATTGGTATCAGTGGGAGGAATAGTAGCCCATCATTGGTATCAGTGGGAGGAATAGTAGCCCATCATTGGTATCAGTGGGAGGAATAGTAGCCCATCATTAGTATCAATGGGAGGAATAGTGGCCAATCATTGGTGTCAGGGGCAGGAACTCTGTCTTGCTGTTAATACACTGCTCAAAAGAATGAAAGGAACACTTTTTAATCAGAGTATAGCATCAAGTCAATTAAACTCCTGGGATATTGATCTGTTCAGTTAAGTAGCAGAGGAGGTTGTTAATCAGTTTCAGCTGTTTTGGTTTAATGAAATTAACAGGTGCATTAGATGGGAAACAATGAGATGACCCCCAAAACAGGAATGGTTTTACTAGTGGAGGGCACTGACATTTTTTCCCTTCTCATCTTTTCTGACTGTTTTTCACTAGTTTTGCATTTGGCTAGGGTCAGCATGAGGTGATACCTGGTCCCTACAGAGGTCCAGGCACTCCTCCAGGATGGCACATCGATACGTACCATTGCCAAAAGGTTTGCTGTGTCTCCCAAGTCAGTCTCAAGAGCATGGAGGAGATTCCAGGAGACAGGCAGTTACTCTAGGAGAGCTGGACAGGGCCATAGAAGGTCCTTAACCCATCAGCAGGACCGTTATTTTTCAAGGAGGAATAAGATGAGTACCTCCAGAGCCCTACAAAATGACCTCCCAGCAGGTCACCAGTGTGAATGTCTCTGACCAAACAATCAAAAACAGACTTCATGAGGGTGGCCTGAGGGCCCCACATCCTCTAATGGGCCCTGTGCTCACTACCCGGCACCATAGACCTCGATTGGCATTTGCCATTGAACAAACACCAGAATTGGCAAGTCCACCACTGGCGCCCTGTGCTTTTCACAGATGAGAGCAGGTTCACCCTGAGCACATGTGACAGACATGAAAGGGTCTGGAGAAGCCATGGAGAACATTATGGTGCCTGTAACATCGTTCAGCATGACCGTTTTGGTGGTGGGTCAGTGATGATCTGGGGAGGCATACCCATGGAGAGACGCACAGACCTCTACAGGCTAGACAATGGCACCCTGACTGCCATTAGGTATCGGGATGAAATCCTTGGACCCATTGCCAGACCCTACACTGGTGCAGTGGGTCCTGGGTTCCTCCTGGTGCACGACAATGCCCGGCCTCATGTGGGGGAGAGTATGCAGGCAGTTCCTGGAGGATGAAGGAATTGATACCATTGAATGGCCCCCACGCTCGCCTGACCTAAATATAATAGAACACCTCTAGGGTATCCTGTTTCAGTCCATCCGACACCGCAGGTTTCACCTCAGACTGTCCAGGAGCTCAGTGATGCCCTGGTCCAGATCTGGGAGGAAATACCCCACGACACCATTCATCATCTCATTAGGAGCCTCCCCCGACTTTGTCAGACATGCATACAAGCACGTGGGGGCCATACAAACTACTGAGTACCATTTTGAATTGCTGCAATGAAATCTCAGCAAAATGGACTAGCCTGCTGCATCATTTTTTCACTTTGATTTGCGGGTTATCTTTGAATTCAGTCCTCTGTAGGTTGATAATTTTCATTTCCATAAACCGATGGGGCGTCCTTACATTCCTAGCACATTACCCAATCCATATCATTATAGATATCCAGCATGATATTTTTCCCCATTGAGATCTGATGTGTTTTCCAAGTGTTCCTTTAATTTTTTTGAGCAGTGTATACATAGAAGGAATAATGCCCCAAGTTTGGATAGAGGCTGGCAAAGGGTTGCAGTTTGGAGACCACTGATCTAGATTCTCAAAAATGCAGATTTGTCACATGGAAAATATAAGTACACCCTTACACTCACCACCATTTGAAATGACATTGGAATCCAGAGTTCCAGACTAGGTCCCAATGATCAGAACCTCCATAGTGGTTATGCAGGTGGGACCTATCTTTATTTAAACGTCAGGTGCCTGGTGTTTTGCTATTGACATGTACTGTTTGTTGTCATTATGCCAAGATAAATAGAACTCTCTAAAAGCTACCAGAGAGAATCCTAACACTATAAGGAAAATAACCTACAAGTGGCCAATATTTCAAACTATGAATTTGTCCAGGACTGGCTCGCACAGCAGTTTCAACCCAAGAGCTGAACACTTATAAAAGAAGTCTTCAAGAACTAACAAAAATAATTGTGGGGCATTCAGGTAACGTTTTTTTTAAACTGTCGATGTCAATAAGTATACAGCTACAGAAAGCCTGATTGAACCTGCATAGGAAATGTGTCAGTGAAAAAAAAAAAAAATTTGCTTTTCAGAAATGACAATAGAGCAAAACTTTTAGGCAGGCATATAGGCAAAGACCAGGCCTTTCTGGAACAATGTGCTGGATCAATCAATGACAGAGCTGTTTGGTTACCAGTGACAGCATTTCAAGAGAAGAGCCTCATACCAACTGTGAAGCATGTTGGTAGAAATGTTATGGTTTGGGTTTGCTTTATGCTTCAGGGCCTGGGCAGCTTGGCAGTTATCAAGTCAACTATGAATTCTGCATCATATCAAAGTATGCTTGATAAGAATGAGGCCATCTGTCCAAAAATCTGATGCAATACTGGAAGTGGATCAATGAATAAGATGATTTCGAGGATGCTAACAAATCCAGGAAGTAATGGCTCAAAAAGAATTAAAAAAAAGGGTTTTGGACTGCCCTAGTCAAAGGCTTGATTTGAATCCCATTGAAATGTTTCTGGGGGATTGATTTTGAAACTGGCTGTTCATGCAAGGAAACCAGAAAACATCTTGCAAATGGAGGAATTTTGCATGGAGAGGTGATCAGAAGAGACTGGTGGGTAGTTATACAAATGAGCTACAAGAAGTAATTTCTGCTAAAGGAGCAATACCAACTTTTGATGCCACGAGTGTACTTACCTTTTTAACCCACAGCACACCATTATGTCTATTGATGGTTTTTGTCAAATGATTCAAAGGCAAATGTTCCTCATGTTTTTACTCAAGTATATCACCCTTATGTGTAGGCGCTGTCTTGTGTGGTCTTTTCTCAGTAGACACTTGTTGATACTCCATTATTGGCCTTTTTTTTTTTTTTTTTTTTTTTTTTTTTTTTTTTTTTTAAGGTGCAATAACCTGTGCAGCAGCAGTCTTGGTAAATTGACTGTTATATCTAAAAATTAAAAAAAAAAAAATTTATATATGTATATGAAACTAACCCTCCCACTTTATTTATCTGATTCATACATTAGTGCTTTTAGTGAATTGAAAGTTTATGCTTTTGTAAATTGAGTCTGTTATAATGTCAGCTGCCATTTACATTCTCTGTAGGGAACGGTCTGAGTGGTAGTAATAGGCAGGAGTCCTAAGCTTTGTCCAAACAAAGCTCATTGCATTTTTCTTGGTTTCAGAAAATGCCTGCAGAAAGCCAGAAATGATATGTAAAACTGAGAGAGGGAAGGAACCAACTGCAAAGAGTCAGCCGCAATGAGGAGGAGGAAACTCCAATGGGTTCGTACAAAGAAATCACTATTGTGCAATTTGGAGTGATTGTAAACTGAGTGTGTGTTTTTTTGTTATTTAAAAAAAAAAATTCTACTTGCATGCTATGTGTAATGGTTTTGCACAGAGCAGCCCCTATCTTCCTCTTCTCTGATCCTCCGCTGATGCCCCTGGTTTTTTCCCCCCTACAGAGTGCCCCTGTAGCAAGCCACTTGCTAAGGGGGCATTTGTGTGGGTTTGATCCCAAGCCGTGCAGTGTGTGGTCAATGACTGACACACGCACTCCTCCAGAGGTTGTGATTGACAGCAGCAGGAGCCACAGGCATCCGCTGCTGCCTCCATGTCCAGTGAGGAGAGAGAGCTGCTGCTCTCTCCGGCACAACGCTGGATCAAGATCGAGTTTTTGGAATTTTGGTTTTTGGTATTTGGGAGGGGCTGAGGGGGGAGGGGAGGCGAAGACAGAAGGTTTTTACCTTAATGCAGAGAATATATTAAGATAAAAAAACCTTCTGCCTTTAGAACAACTCATTAGAGTAGAACTACGGTCCAACTAATCGTAACATATGTGGTGCTGGCTGCTCATACCAGGAAGACCTGACTCTCTGTTTGTCGAAGCACCCCCTGGAACATTTTGTTGGATCCTGCCAATAGAACCATTGGATATACATTTTCTTTGATAGGGTGACAACACTCTTCTTTTTGCAGTGTTTTCACCTTTGTGTAGCTGTCTGGATATTTGCACCATTGATAGCCCTTCCCCCCTCTTGGCACCCATGTAATTCCCTGGTCACGCATGCCGAAACGTCTACTACTCAATGAGGTTCTGAAATTTAACAGATGAATGGCAGAGGCAGGGCATTGTTCCACAGAGGAGAGGATTGAAAATTGTAATATTGCAGGTGTGGTGGCTGCATCTTCTTTTTTTTTTTTCTTTTTTTTTTAACCTTTTTATCCTTTATTTTCACCGGTTAATCCTGTGAATAACTAATTTGCTCTCCCTGGGTTGCAATGGTTGTCACCCAGGACGCTCTTCTAGTTTGAATTACAAATATCTCCTCCTCCACATCTCCATTATTTTGGGGGGAGTGCAAGGGAATTTATAGTTTACAGAAGATGGTCTGGAAGTATAACATTATTTGTGATTGCAGTTCAGCACACAGGAATTGACAAGGACGCTGCATTTCTGGCAAGATGAACAGGTCATTTTAAACACTTGACTAAATGTACTTGGCCAGAAAAAAGTTAACTAATGCTACCGCCACACCTAAGGACTGGCTGCAATATAATTCTTGTCCTTGGGTTTGTGCAGCTCCTGCACCTCATTATTTGTGATGTGACCATTCTTCAATAAAATCTTCTCAGACGACGTTTGATGATCATCCACACCATCCACTGATCATGGGTGCAATTCACTGCAGGCTCCAGTGAAAAAAAAGATATAAATTTGGCAGCACAGTGGCTGAATGGTTAGCACTTCCACCTGGCAGTACTGGGGTCATTGGTTTGAATCCCAGCCATGGCACCACCTGCCTGGAGTTTGCATGGTCTCCCTGTGCCTGCGTGGGTTTCCTCCGGGTACTCCAGTTTCCTCCTACTCTCCAAAGACATGCTGGTAGGTTAATTGGCCCTAGTATGTGTATGTATGAATGTAAGTTAGGGACTATGGATTGTACACCCCTTGAGGGTTAGGGACTGATGTGAATGTACAACATATATGTAAAGCTCATAAATTGATGGTGTTATAGAAGTATCTGTAATAAATAAATGCATTTTTTTTTTTTTCAGCAAAAATATGTACATTTATTATTTTTTCACAAAGGCAAACTTAGCTGTTAGGTCTGATCAGGTTCAGTTAAAAAGCAAATGTGTTGATGCTTCCATCTCTCTAATCCTGCTTGTTATTCAGTACTGTCACCTTACATGTTCCTTTTTTAAATGATTTTTCTCTATAGGGTAATGTGAGTCACATGCATTACTTCCCTATTTTTGCTTTTAAATGGTATATAAACTGTTTCAGTACAAAGTGTGCCAAATGAGTGGTATATATTCTAACCCCTGTGTCTGTACTGTACATTTGCAGCCTGCATCATTGTGAGGCCTGAGATGGTAGCCAATCTTCCAGAACTACTGACCGATGATGAGTTATCAGGTACAATTATAGGGCACAATGTGATTTATTTTTTCCACTGTTTTTCCAATTAGAATGTACACTTACCGGCCACTTTTAGGTCCGCCTTGCTAGTACTGGGTTGAACACCCTTTTGCCTTCAGAACTGCCTTTAATTATTCATGGCAGAGATTGAACAAGGTGTTGTAAACATTCCTCAGAGATTTTGGTCCATATTGAAATGATAGCATCACGCACTTTCTGCACATTTGTCGGATGCACATCTATGATGCGAATCTCCTGTTCCACCACAATCCAAAGGTGCCCTATTGGATGGAGATCTGGTGACTGTGGAGGCCAATGGAGTACAGTGAACTCATTGTCATGTTCAAGAAACCAATTTGAGATGATTTGAGCTTTGTGACATGGTGCATTATCCTGCTGGATGGAGCCATCAGAAGATGGGGGACACTTTAGTCATAAAGGGATGGACATGGTCAGCAACAATACTCAGGTAGGCCTTGCCATTTAAACGATGCTCAATTGGTACTAAGGGGCCCAAAGTGTGCCAAGAAAATATCCCCCACAGCATTGCACCACCACCAGCCTGAACCATTGATACAAGGCAGGATGGATCCATGCTTTCATGTTGTTTACGCCAAATTCTGACCCTACCATCTGAATGTTGCAGCTGAAATCGAGATGCATCAGAGCAGGCAACGTTTTTTTCCAATCTTCTATTGTCCAATTTTGGTGAACCTGTGTGAATTGTTGCCTCCGTTTCCTGTTCTTAGCTGACAGGAGTGGCACACAGTGTGGTTTTCTGCTGCTGTAGCCCGTCTGCTTCAAGTTTTGACATGATGTGCGTTCAGAGATGGCATTCTACATACCTCAGTTTTTGCCTTTCTGTCATCTCGAACTAGTCTGCCCATTCTCCTCTGACATCAACAAGGCATTTTCATCCACGCAACTGCCATTCACTGGATATTTTCTCTTTTTCGGCACCATTCTCTGTAAACCCTGTATGGTTGTGCGTGAAAATCCCAGCAGGTCAGCAGATTTTTAAATACTCAGACCAGCCTGTCTGCCACCAACAATTATGCCACATTCAAAGTCCCTTAAATCTCCTTTCTTACCCATTCTGATGCTCAGTTTGAACTTCACCATGTCTAGATGCCTAAATGCAGTGAATTGCTGCCATGTGATTGGCTGATCAGCAACTACACAGGTGTACCTAAATAGGCGTGTGTGTGTGTGTGTGTGTGATAGATAGATATAGATAGAGAGAGATAGATAGATATAGATATAGATATATATATATATATATATATATATATATATATATATATATATATATATATATATATAATCTCACACACACAGGTGAAACTCAAAAAATTAGAATATAGTGCAAAAGTTAATTTATTTCAGTAATGCAACTTAAAAGGTGAAACTAATATATGAGAGAGACTCATTACATGCAAAGCAAGATCGTTCAAGCCGTGATTTGTCATAATTGTTAGATGATTATGGCTTACAGCTCATGAAAACCACCAAATCCACAATCTCAGAAAATTGAGAATATTCCATGCAATCAAAAACAAGGATTGTACATAGAACAATATCGGACCTCTGAAAAGTAGAAGCATGCATATATGTACTCAGTACTTGGTTTGGGCCCCTTTTGCAGCAATTACTGCCTCAATGCGGTGCGTGGCATGGAAGCTATCAGCCTGTGGCACTTCTGAGGTGTTATGGAAGACCAGGATGCTTCAATAGTGGCCTTCAGCTCTTCTGCATTGTTCGGTCTCATGTCTCTCATCTTAGGACATTCTCACAGCCCCACAGTTCAGCTCTGACAGGGAAAGAATACAAGTAACTAATCGACAATCAAATAACTAAGGTTGCACTATTATAAACACTTACAGAGATTACAATTATTACAGATGGACACTGGATCTCATTAAGGTGGTTGTAAACCCTTACATATGTACAGTGAAGTGAGTGGCCTCAAGTGATACACAGAGATGAAACAAAAAGTTTCACGTGTGTGTGTGTGTGTTTGTAAACAAGGCCGATTTGTAGGCCTCATTTTTTGTGTGTTTTCTCTTCCTACTCTTTGTATAACACCTTCAATAAATACTATTGAAACAGAAATGGTTTATTTACTTTGTATATATCTTCTTTTCTGCTGCACATACATAGACTGCATCTACCTGGAAATTGATTCAGACTCAGAAACTGAGCAAGAAAGAAAGTCATATGTGGACAACCCTGGACAATCCGAGGATGATGATGATTGCTCAGGTTGGTACAAATGGCAACAAATTTTTTTTTTTTTTTTTATTTAATTTGGTTTCTTTTTAGTTATTCCAAAAATGGGGACAAGTCTTATACATGATTATATGCCGTCCGACTTTGTGCTTGTTCTTTGACTTTGTGGTGGGTGTGTATGTGGGGTTTTTTTTTTTTTTTTTCTTTAATTTTTGACACATTTACTGTGTGTTGTGTGGGGTCTTTTGAGTGCACATTAAAGGGAAGCTCTTGAAAGAATAAGCTGCTATTGCTGACCTGTCCTCTGTGCAGATCAGGAGTTCTGACTCTTCTCTGTTTTGAGTCCGTGACTCAAAGTATGGAAGCCAGATCTAGCCAGGAAACTAGTATTCCTGTATTCCTCCTTTAAACACACCAAAACACGTGCAGCTGCACCATGACTTTGTTGAACCTCTGCCCCCTCCTTCGGCTCATGGTTCTAGTAATGTCTGACCTGTTTCCTGCTTTTCTCCATATTCACAGCCTCTAAATAGCACGCCAACATAATCATCCTGCTAAATATGGCTAGCGATGATCTGGCCACCAAAAGGGTCTTTCCACTACCCAACAGATGCATACAGGTTTACCTTTTACTTGCAAACAAGCTAATGGCTTTTGTGGAAACACTTAAGCTGCCCAAAGACGGTTAAAGTGGAATTCTAGTCAAAACCTAACTAACTCCAATCCTACTCTCAGCCACATTCAAAGCCTAGTCTATCTAGCCCTGTAAAGCAAATATCGCTGTACTTCCTGTTCTGCAGCTGTTCCTGTCCAGTCTCCAGCAGCGCATGCTGTGAAGCCGCATGGGAGAGCTCATGCCGATAATGGACATGGCATTGACACAGCCCCAAATAATGCACAATGGCTCAAAATTGATATGGTCCAGAAACCTTTAGACATTATAAAGGTGAATAAAGCACTCTGACCAGATTGCATACACCCGTGGCTTTTTTTTTTTTTTTTTTTTTTTAAATCAACGGGAATGTCTGGGAACACAGTTCCATAACTGCCAGCACTGTTGTTGGTGGGGGATATATTGTTGCTGGAGGTGGGTCTTATGTTGCTGGGGGTCATTTGCTACTTGGAGGGGTCTACTGTAAAGAGAGGGGTCTATTGTTGCTGGCTGCTGGAGGGTCTGTTGATGCTGACTGCTGAGGTCTGTTGTTGCTGTGGGGGTTTTATTGTTGCCGGGGGGGGGGTGTATTGTTGTGGTTTATCCATTGTTATTGGGGGGTCTATTGTTGCTGCGGGGATCTATTGTTGATGCGGGGTGTTTTGTTGCTGGCTGCATTGATCTATTTTACTGCTTTTCTTGTTATCATTAACAAGTTCCATACAAATTGCTTGGCACCACAAAAAATCCCTTGATTTCGTATTCCCAGAAGGGCGAAACTGGGAGGTGGGGTAGGGATTGGAATCGAGGAACGATGCTCAGAGGTGGGTAGGGGTAGAGACAGACTATCAACCAGGCTATGTAACTACAGTGAAGGAAATAAGTATTTTGCTCCCCTGCTGATTTTGAATGTTTGCCCACTCACATAGAAATGATCAGTCTAAAAATCGAATGGTAGGTGTATTGTAACACAGAGACAGAATAGCAACAAAAAATTCAAAAGAAATGCATGTCTAACACATGATGCACTGATTTACATGTTCATGAGGGAAGTAAGTATTTGATCCCCTATCATTTAGCAGGATTTCTGGCTACCAGGTGTCTTTCATACAAGTAACAAGTTGAGATTAGAAGCAGTCTCTTAAAGGGAGTGCAGCTAATCTCATTTTGTTATCTGTGTAAAAGACACCGGTCCACAGGAGCAATCAAACAAATATATTTCAAACTCTCCACCATGACAAAGACCAAAGAGCTGTTCAAGGATGTCAGGGACAAGATTGTAGACCTACACAAGGCTGGACTGAGCTACCAAACTATCGCCAAGCAGCTTGGTGAGAAGGTGACAACAGTTGGTGCAATCATTCGCAAATGGAAGAAACGCAAAACAACTGTCAGTCTCCCTGGGTCTGGTGCACCATGCAAGATCTCACCTTGTGGAGTATCAATGATCATGAGAACAGTGAGGAATCATCCCAGAACTACACGTGAGGATCTTGTCAATGATCTCCAGGCAACTGGGACCACAGTCACCAAGAAAACAATTGGTAACACACTACGCCTAACCAGGATTGAAATCCTGCAGTGCCCGCAAGGTCCCTCTGCTCAAGAAAGCACAAGTCCAGGCCCGTCTGAAGTTTGCCACTGAACATCTGAATGATGCAGAGGAGGACTGGTTGAAAGTGTTTTGGTCAGATGAGACCAAAATCAAGCTCTTTGGCATCAACTCAACTTGCCGTGTTTGGAGGAAGAGGAATGCTGCCTATGACCCCAAGAACACTATCCCAACTGTCAAACATGGTGATGGAAACATTCTGCTTTGGGGGTGTTTTTCTGTTAAGGGGACAGGGCAACAGCACCTCATCAAAGGGACGATGGACGGGGCAATGTACCGTCAAATCTTGGGTGAGAGCCTTCTTCCCTCAGCCAGGGCATTGAAAATGGGTCGTGGATGGGTGTTCCAGCATGACAATGACACACGGCCAAGGGAACAAAGGAGTGGCTCAAGAAGAAGCACATTAAGGTCCTGAAGTGGCCTAGCCAGTCTCCAGACCTTAATCCGATTTGAAAATCTGTGGAGGGAGCTGAAAATTCAAATTGCCAAACATCGGCCACCAAACCTTAAGGACTTGGAGAGGATCTGCCAAGAGGAGTGGGCCAAAATCCCTCCTGAGATGTGTGCAAACCTGGTGGCCAACTACAGGAAACGTCTGACCTCTGTGATTTCCAACAAGGGATTTGCCACCAAGTACTAAGTCATGTTTTGTGAAGGGGATCAAATACTTATTAACCTCATGAACATGCAAATCAGTCATCATTTGTTAGACATGCATTTCTTTTGAATGTTTTGTTGCTATTCTGTCTCTCAGTGTTACAATACACCGAACATTCGATTTTTAGATGGATCATTTCTTTGTGAGTGGGCAAGCATTCAAAATCAGCAGGGGATCAAATACTTATTTCCTTCACTGTATGTAAATGCCTGGGAAGTGAAATCACCCATAGAGTTACTATGGGGCTTTCTTTGTGAGCTGCCTGTCCTGCATACTCCCCACACACTGAAGCCGCTGCTGACAGCTCAGTATGAGAACGGAACGGTTGCAGAACAGGTAAGTACAGCAAATTTTGCTTTACAGAGTTAGATAGATTAGGCTTGGAATGGGGCAAAGAGTAGGTTTACAGTTAGTTAGTTAGGTTTTGACTGGAATTCCACTTTAAGCAGGAAAGAAAATTTGCTTGATTTCCCATCAACACATTCATTGTTAATGGGGGAATCCCTCATATGGAGCTATTGTGTTCTGACAGTGGGAGTTCTCCAAGCCATCAGAATACAATGATTATTATTATTATACAGTGTTTATATAGCGCCAATAGGTTTGCTCAGCGCTGTACAATAAAGTGGGGGGACATTACATGAGACAATACAGTAACAATACAATACACGAGGGGTTTCGAGGACCCTGCTCTTTCGAGCTTACAATCTAGGAGGGAGGGGATAGTGGTACAGGAGGAAGTGGCTGTGGGGGATGGAGTGGTAGGAGGAGTGAAGGAGAACGGTGAGGGTGGAGTAGGCTTCCCTGAAGAGGTGGGTTTTCAGGGAGCGCCTGAAGGTGAGGAGGGTAGGTGACAGTCTGATGGATTGGGGTAGGGAGTTCCAGAGGATGGGGGAAGTCCCTGCAGTCGGGTGTGGGAGGAGTTGACCAGGGAGCTAGAAAGTAGGAAGTCCATGTGAGGAGCGAACGGTGCGGGTAGGGTGGTATTTGGGTATCAGGTCAGTGAGGTAGTTTGGGGCAGCGTTATGGATGGCTTTGTCAGACTTAGTAATTTTTGAATTTAATGCGTTGGGCAATCGGGAGCCAGTGAAGGGATAGGGAGAGGGGGGGTGGTAGAAGTGGAGCAGTTGGTGAGGTGGATGAGTCTAGCCCAGGGGTGGGCAAACTTTTTGACTTGAGGGTCGCAATGGGTTCATATATTGGACCCAGGGGCCGGACCAAGAGTAGATGAATGATGTGTATGTGTCATCCATAGTAAGTATAGTAATATTCCCCCATAGTAAGCATAGTAATTAATCCCCCATATAGTAATTCATCCCCCCTATAGTAATTCATTCCCCATATTAATTCATCCCCCATATTAAGTCCCCAAGTCCCCCCTGTGTCAATTTACTTACCTTTGCTCCGCGCGTTCCTCTCGCTGTGTTCCCGCTCCGGTCTTCAGGGCGGACTGTGAGAGGAGCCTAGCTCCCCTCACGTTCGTCACGCTGCCCCGCCTACACACATCCTGACAGCCATCCTGACAGTATCACGCTCCACGGGCAGGATTAAAAGGTCCGCCGGGCCGTAGTTTGCCCATTGCTGGTCTAGCCTTTGAGTTCAGGATAGACTAAAGCGGGGATAGCCTGCGTTGGGGTAGGCCGGTGAGAAGGGAGTTACAGTAGTCTAGGCGTGAGATAATAAGGGCGTGTATGAGTTGTTTCGTGGTGTCTGGGGTTAGGAAATTACTTATCTTGGAGATGTTGCGGAGGTGGAGCATGCATGAATTTGCTAGTGATTGAACATGAGGCTGGAAGGAAAGGTTTAAGTCCAGGGTGACACCTAGGACTTTGACTTGCGGGTTGGGATTGATGGTGGCGTTGTTGGTCGTGATGGGGGGGGGGGGGGGGGGGGGGCGCGCTGGCTGGGGGGAAAAACTGGGAGCTCGGTTTTGGAAAGGTTTAACTTGGAAATGGAGGAAATGGAGCGACATCCAGTCTGATATGTCGTTTAGGAGGTGGGTGATGCGGGCAGAGACTGAGTGGGTGAGTTGAGGGGTAGAGAGGTAAATTTTGTGTGTCATCGGCGTAGAGGTGATAGTTGAAGCCGTGGGAATGTATAAGTTTGCCAAGGGAGGAGGTGTAGATGGAGAAGAGAAGGGGTCCGAGGACAGAGCCTTGGGGGACCCCAACAGAGAGGGGGAGAGAGGGGGAGGTGGCAGTGTTATAGGTAATGCTGAAGGAGCGTTGGGATAGGTAAGGGGAGAACCAGGAGAGAGCAGAGTCCCTGATGCCAAGGGAGTGTAGTTTATTGAGTAGGGGGTTGTCTACTGTGTCGAAGGCCGCGGAGAGGTCGAGGAGTAGGAGGACTGAGTAGTGGCCGTTAGCTTTGGCAGTTAGCAGGTCGTAAGTGATTTTGAGGAGGGTGGTTTCGGTGGAGTGTAGGGAACGGAAGCCGTACTGTAGTGGGAGAAGGTTGTTATCAAGGTGGGCGCTTAGGCGATTGTAGACTAAGCGCTCAAGGAGCTTGGAAGTGAGTGGCAGCAGGGAGATGGGTCTAAGGTTGTTCAGGTCAGTGGGGTACAGGGAGGGTTTTTTTGAGTATGGGGGTGATGTGCGCGTGCTATAGGTGGGAAGGGGAATGCCCCAGTAGAGGGGGAGAGATTGAAGATGTGGGTGAGGGAGTGGATGATGGAGGAGGGGGGTGACCGGAGGAGTTGAGGGGATAGGGTCCAGGGGTAAGTGGTGAGGCGGGCTTCTGAGAAGACCTTAGTGACCTCCTCGGTGGTAGCAGGGCTGAAGGAGCGGAGTGCTGGGGAGGTTATAGTGTGCGGGACGTTAGGTGTGGTGGGGGGCAGTGCGGTTGAGAGGTCAGAGTAGGGGAGAGTGGAGGGGGGGAGGCTAGATGGAGAGGTAGATTGTGAATTGACAATGTCCTTACGGATTGCGTCAATCTTGTTTTGGAAATGATTGGCAATCTCATGGGCGGTGAGTGAGGTACTGAGTGGAGGTGGGGGGGGGGGAGAGAGTAGGGAGTTGAAAGTGGAGAAGAACCCGCGAGGACAGGAGGAGAGGGTGTTAATGAGAGTTACGAAGTAGGCCTGCTTGGCGGCGTGGAGGGAGGAGGTGTAAGTGAAGAAGGCGGATTTGTAGAGGGAGAACTCTCGAGGGGACTTGGTTTTGCGCCATAATCGCTCCAGCGCGTGACTGCGTCCTTTTGAGACATTTAGTATGGTCATTCTGCCAGGGTTGAAGCAGTCAGGGTCTGATGTTGTGTGGTTAGGGGTGCCAGGGAGCCTAGGGCAGCTGACAGTGAGTCGTTGTACGCAGTAGTGGCCAGGTCAGGGCATAACAGTGGAAGGATACTGTCGAACAGACTGTCAGCTGCTGAGTGGAGGGGGGCCGGGTTCAGGTTGTGGAGGTTATGGCTGGTGATGGTTTGACGCTTTGGGGGGGGGGGGGCTAGAGGATGGGGAGATGGAAAACGTGAGGAGGTGGTGGTCAGAGAGAGGGAAGGGGGTGTTAGTGAAGTGGTGGAGGGTACAGAGGTGAGAGAAAACGAGGTCTAGGGTGTTCCCATCGGTGTGGGTGGAGGACTGTGTGAGCGCGAAAGAGGTTAGGTGGAGGAGTTGGGAAGTAGCTGGGTTGTTGTCGTTGATGGGGATATTGAAGTCCCCAAGGATGATGGTTGGTAGCTCAGAGGAGAGGAAGAAGGGAAGCCAGGCGGCAAAGTCGTCCAGGAAGCGGGATACGGATCCAGGAGGCCGATAGATTACTGCAAACCTCAGAGGGGTGGTGGAGAAGAGCTGTATGCAGTGGGCCTTGAAGGAGGAGAAGGATAGAGAGGGGGGGGTTAGGGAGGACCTGGAAGGTGCTCAGTGGTGACAGGAGCATACCGACCCCACCACCTCTACGACCACTCGGTCTGGGTGAGTGGGTCCAAACGAGGCCTCCATAGGTGAGTGCCACAGGGGAGGTGGAGTCAGTGGCTTGGATCCAGGTTTCAGTGACCGCTAGGAGGTTGAGGGAGTGGGAGATAGAGGTCATGGATGGTGGTGAGCTTGTTGCAAACCGAGCGGGCGTTCAGGAGTGCAACCAAGAGAAGAGGGATGGATGCGGGGAGGAGGGGGACAGGTATAAGGTTGAGGGGGTTGCGGGAGCAGGAGGGTGCCTAGAGGGAGAGTGAGGTGGTGAGGGGACAGGGTTCGGGGAGATGTCCCCAGCGGTTAGGAGGAGAAGGGTGAGGAAGGTGGCATGGGAATGGGAAGTGCAGGAGCGTGTGAATCTGTTAGTGGTGGCATGTGGGTTGGCGGGAGAGTGGAGTATCAGGAGGAGGTGGTGAGTACCGTAGTGGGGAGAGGGAAGAGGTGAAGGAGCAATGTAGAGCTGTTTTGGGGGAGTAGGCAGGTGGAGGGAGGAGATTTTGGGAATGGAGGAGAGGAATACGAGGAGGAGGAGTACAGGTGACATGTTAGGGTGAGCAGAGTGCTGGTCAAATCGGGGGAGGTGAAAGGTTTCACATCAGGGCGTGATGATGCGGAGAGTCTGTCACGCCGTGGCACAGTTCATCTGAGTCCATCTGTAGGAGGAGAGTGAGAGTGGTGGGCAGCTGGGTCAGCAGCTGGCTAGTTGCAGTCTGTGGGTGCGGTATGCTGGCGTCCGTGGGTGCTGTGGCACGGCGTCAGTTGGTACAGTGGCTTGGCGACTGGAGGAGCTGTAGGGTGCGGTGTCTGGGGGTGTTGGTGGGCCGGCGTCGGGAGGTGCTGAAGGCCTGGCGTCTGGAGGTGGAGTGGGCTAGGTGTTGGTAGGTGCAGTAGAGCCCAGCATCAGTGGGTGTTGTGGGCCAGTGCATGTGGATGCTGCAGGCCAGCGACTGAGGGTGCTGTAGACCACGTGGCAGGCTTGCCTCCGCCGGATTGGACGGGGCTCGGGGCTGTGCAGTGGCAGGGGCACGGATACGTGGTACCCGGAGGGGAGCAGGGAAGCAGATTTGGTAGCGGAGGCTTAGCCTCTCGGTGCGGGGTGGCGGTGGTGGCTTACCCTCTCGGTGCGGGGGCCGGTGGTGTCTTACCCTCTCAGTGCCGGTGGGGGGGGTTGCTGCTTCCCCTCTCTCTGCGGCGGTTGTAGGTAAGAGAGGCGGTGGTGGTAGCTCCCCTCTCTCTGGCGTCGGGCAATAGCGTGGCTTTGTAGGCCACAGGTGACAGAGCGCCCAGTACTCCTCCTGGGCGATGGCAAGGCCTCTGGAGCGGCTGGTGAGGGTACCGATGGGGGTGGTGGTGGCGTCCCCTCTGGAGCTGGGGTTGTGTCCCCTTTGGATTGGGGCGCCTCGGTCGGCCCGCGGTTCGCCATGGCCGGCAGGAGGGGCCGTGGTAGGCCGCGAGCCGCCGGAGCTCCGCCGGAGGGACAGAGCGCCCAGCACCTCTTCTGGGTGTTGGGAAGACCTCCGGGGATGCTCCGGAGCCCGCTACCGCCTGGATGGAGGCGGGGGCGCCGGAGCTGGCGATTATGCGGCCGCTCCGGACGCCACCTTGTTGACATATGATCACTGCTTGCTGCTATAGCTGCCAGCAGTGATCGAATGAAAAAACCTGACCCGCTGATTGAACTGAAGCTGATCAAGCGATCTGGGAATCTTGGCTCCTTGCAGATAATATTTTTACCTTCCTTTTCAGGACTTTCAATTAAATACTTACAAATGTCTTTATAGGACTCCAGAATTTTGTAATAAGTCATGTTTTTAGTGAATGTTCTTGCTGTGATGTTTTCCTGTGTTTATATGTAGACTGTGTGTATGTGAAGACTGAGCACATCTCAACATCAGGAGAAGAGAAAGAGACCAGTCTGAGCGATCAAGAAGCCCTGTATGATGATGATGATTCTTCAGGTTGGTATTAAAGCTGAACTCCGGGGAAAGCAAATTCTCACTTGCAGTGGTTTTCCCCCTGCACTGCATGGAATGAATGCTCATTTAGATCTAGGTTACCAAAAAAGCACGTTTTGCTTGTCCAATCTTCCACTCCTGCAGCCCCCCTCCATGCTGCTAGACTGCTCCCCACACCCGCTTCTCCCCTGTTCTCTAACAGTCGCAGGTCCTCTGACATAAAGTACAATGCAGGGCCCCTAGCCTTGTAGGGGATGCGAGGATGCTGAGGGACAGCCTAATGCATAGTGTAGAAGAGTGTTGACTTTGGGGGAATGGAGGATCAGGTCATTAAAACTGCTTACTCTAGATCTAAACTAGCATTTAACCCGAGCAGTGCATGGGCAGCCTCACTGCAAGGGCAGATTTCTCCTTGCCCTGGAGATTTTAAATAAGATGTATGCAATAATGATGTAGCACACACTGCAATCAAGAGATTGGGATCAATTCTGATTAGGGCTTATTCATACTAGATGCTGTGAATGGAGGTAAAGTGGAGTGCATGGGGTAAAGTGATTGTGTACCTTGCTAAAGCCAAAATCCAGGCAACTAAAAGAAGATTGTTACCCTATCCTCTGCTCCTTCCCGCAGCTATACCAGTCCTTGCAAAGGATTCTCCCCCTAAGCTCCAGCAGTCTAGGACAGTGTTTCTTGTCAAGGCACCCTTTAACATTATGGATAGTCTTGAGGCACTTCATGCTAAAATGTGAATAATGATTCTAATAGTTTTATATAACGCAGCAACATCCACACATGTAGGACACCCAACATTAGATGATTTATTCTTCCAAAGAAAATACACTTTTGCACATTGGTACTGACTAGTATTCCAATGTTTCTCTTCTCCCTCCGTTTTTCTCCATCACTGAGCTAATTTGACCCCAACACTGATGAAGAGGGACAGCGGAGGGTCAATCTAGGATGCTGTGTAGGCAGCTGATATCCTCATCAACTAATGATGTCATTGGTTGTCAGGATGTCGGTGGTTAGAAGGTCATAATGGTGCACAATGAAAACCTGTGGCTTTGTGTAACTAAAGGCAGGCTCGTTCTACCCACTGGCTTGTATACAAATTTTGGGCAATTTCTGAACACTTTGCCAAGGCACCCCTGAAGAAACCTCAAGGCACCCCAGGGTGCCTGGGTACCCTGGTTGAGAGTGGCTGATCTAGGACACCAACATCATCAAGACAAAACCAGGGTCCATAGCCCTGCACTGGACATCTTGATGCTGGGGGACAGTCTACTGCTGGAGCGTGGGAAAGCCCCATCTTCCGTAGATTGAAGGATTGGGTATAAAAAATTGTTTCTCCTCTCCTTGAGACAAAATGAGCTTTTAGCCTTTCACACAGTCCCACTGCAAGGGGTAATTTTAAAATTATCCCAGAGTTGGAGTTTAATGTCTAGGGTAATTAATTTTGACATTATTAATTTTCATGTCTGCCCCATCATAGTTTGTTCAAAACCCTAACTTTTATTTGTTTAAATAAAAATCCTTCCATAATTATCTAATTTTGTCTTTTTTTTTTTTTTTTTTTTCCCCCCCATTTCACCTTATCTACGCCATCATCATTACTTAGGAAGCGATTAAATATTTAGATCTACTTTTATCCTTCTTCCAGCTTCTTCCTTCTTCATGAGAACATCCTCCCCATGAGTTCTTAACCTCCTTTCCCCGTCACTTGGAACAAGCAGTGCACGTTAGTTGAGTGTTATGTGCACTGCTTATGCACACTTCACAATCCATAGTCCACCTCAGGAGACATCAAGAGAGGGTGGCTGTGTTCCTACATACATTGGGATAATGGAGACCGCACATGGCTAACAAAATGATGAGGTTGAGAGCAATAGAAGGGACTTCTCTGAGTTAAAAATTCATAGATAGAATTTTTATTTTATTTTTTTAAACCAGTGCTTAGTGCCCCTTCTGCTCTCACTCATTATAGTCCTCATGCTTTTCCTTCAGTCCAATTCTACTGCTGTCATTTGTTTCTTTTTCATTTGTTTTTTTCCCCTAGTATATCCTCCTAACTAGAAATTCCTTCCATTCCCTATAACGTAACAGGTTTCCCCGCTTTTTGCAGCTTCATCAGGGTTAAAAAGTGTACATAAATGCTCTGTGTGTACAAGTGATTAAATGCAACACAGCAGGCTCACTTTACAGAAGCCTTCTGCTCATACCACTGCCGTTCTGATCCACAGCCACCAGCAGAAATACCCAGGGCCTCCAGCAATAGACCTCCACAGTGGAGAGCTCTGTGCCAAAGTGGCCAATTGCAAAATGCAAGAGCTGTCCCTTAGAGATGGAGAGGGAGTCCTTTACCAGGTTATAGTCATAGCCAGGCATTCCCTTTGCTGGAATTTTCATATGATTTAAGGACACAGGTGCTAAAGCAAGTGGATAGTTTGCAGTACTTGCTGTAAAGCAAAAATGTTGCTTTGCCCAGTGTGGCATTGATATCATTGGTTGTTTTTCATCTGTGTCCAATCAAATCATTTTTTTTTTATTTTTACAGAGTGAGAAGATTAGAGCCCCTGTCATGTTTTTACGACTATCCAGGGAGAGATTTCACTCTCACTTGCTAACCTGCTGACAGCCTTTTACAAGACAGGAAGAGAGGGGAATTATCCAAAAGGAGAACAGGCTAGCATTTCTTTAGTACAGTAGGGGAAGATTAGAACCCAGTTTTCTTTCCATGCCACTGTTACAGATTTTCCCTCACTTTCTGTCTGGTGATACCATTGTCAGCAGGACAAAAAGTGGGAGTAAATCTCTCCAATGGATTTCCAGAGAGCAGTAAAAACCTACAAGGGTTCTAATTCTTCTCCACTCAAAACCAAAACTAGAAAGATTTTTGGCTTGACATACACTTTAACAGTCTTTAACCATTTCAATACCGAGCAATTTTACACCTTCCTGCCCAGGCCAGTTTTCCGGTTTCAGCGCTCTCACACTTTGAATGACAATTGCGCGGTCATACAACATTGTACCCAAACTAAAATGTTATCATTTTCTTCACACAACTAGAGCTTTCTTTTGGTGGTATTTATTCACCGCTGGGGTTTTTATTTTTTGCTTAAATTAACAAAAAAAGACCAAAAATTTTGAAAAAAAAAAGTTTTTCTTTGTTTCTGTTATAAAAGTTTGCAAATAAATAATTGTTCTTCATAAATTTAGGCCGAGATGTATTCTGCTACATGTCTTTGGTGAAAATAACCCAAATTAGGATGTATTTTTTAGTTTGTAGGAAAGTTATAAAGTTCACAAACTCTGGTATAGATCTGAAAATTGATCAATCCTGAAGTACTGACAGCCAATCTAATTTCTTGAGGTCCAAGAATGTCAGAACAGTACAGATATCCCCCAAATGACCCCTTTTTTGCAGAGTAGACAGTCCAACGTACTTTATAAGAGGAATGGCGAGTTTTTTGAAGTTGTATTTTTTTTTTTTGTCATTTTTCGGAAAATTAAAAAATTAAAAAAATTAGTTTCACCATTTTTCTTTTACATACTGTCACCAGTGCAGTACAGCGTCATCATATAACTGGCATGGCTGTGATCAGGGACACTGACTGGTAACAGTATGAAAAAAAAAATATATATATATTTTTTTTTTATTAAATTTTTTTCTTTTTTTTTAAGATTTTTTTTTTTTTCATATTTCACTATGACCAAAGTAGTAACATTGTACTACTTTGGGAAAGTGATCAGTATTTTTTTTTATTTTTTTTTACACAATTTGCTTATAGTAAAGAATTACTTTGCTATAAGCAAGCATTTACCTGAATGACATCGATTCATTCAGGTTTTTTTTTTTTTTTTTTGTGCTTAGCTGTGATTTGGCCACAGCTAATCACGTGACATGTGCATGTGATTAGCTGTGACCATTCACAGCTAGACACTAGTATACAATGGATGGCATGAATGAAGCCATCCATTGTATACAACTGTCATGTGACCTGCTGTGATTGGTCACAGCAGGTCACATGGTACCGGCAACGGGGCCGATACTTAGATCTGTCATCGGCCGTGTCCGAGGTACACGGCCGGTGACAGATCGCTCCGCTACGCCGCTCTCTGCGCATGTGCGGGATGACGCCATATGGTGTCCACCCAGAACGCTTTTTTTTTTTTTTTTACATTTTATTTGTTTTATCCATTGTAATGCACCGTGACAGCTGCAGCCTTCCAGATTCAGTTATCACTGGGCCTCTTTCTGGAAGCGGTTGGGCTCATGGGATCACTGTGGTTTGCTGTTACACAATCTGTGCTTGGTTCCTGCTTGTTAGTATAAAAAAATCAGGAGATGCAGAAAGTGTTGCCTTAGAAGTGTGCAAAGGTATGTACTAAGAGTACGATGATAGACTGTAGATTGACATTCTTTCTGCCATGTCTGAAAATAATAATCTGCTGAATGCAGTGAGGAACAAGATTAATAGGGGCAACCCTTTTTTTTTTTTTTTTTTTTTTTTTTTTTTTTTTTTCTCTTCTTTGTAGACTGTATGTATGTGGAGCCTGACAGTCTATCAGAATCAGAAGAGAAACAGGAAGCCGGGGAGAGGCATTCTGTGAACTATGATGAGGATGACGAAGATGACGTCGAAGAAGACGATGATGATGATCACTCTTCAGGTATGTTATTTCATTTTCTTAATAGCCATAGGTATAGAACATGTACCATTAACACCAGAAAGGTCTAGGTTAAAGCAGAACTTTACTCGCGTTTTTATATTTTTAAGGGGATTTGTGAAGAGGCAGCTAATAATGTTATATTGCAGAGGAGACATACAGTGGTTGGACAAAAAAATGGAAACACTACAGGATTTGCAGGTGTGAAAGTGACAACATTTTTCACGTTGAAAGCAGAAGTGATGTAACATTCTTTTTGCTTTCGCTGTGTGATGAGACACCTAGTGAACAGGTGGGAAGCCTCACTTTCACCAATCACTGCTGCGTGTGCTGCTAGTAATACGTTGTCATGTCATTGCTTCTTGAGTTACAAAGAGGGCAAATTGTTGGTGCCGCTTAGCTGGTGCCTCTGTGACTGAAGTTGACAATTTGCCGCGTCGCGAGGTACCATATCAAAGCTTATGATGACATGTTCAATTTCTGAGAAAACTTCGTCTGGTAAGCATAAGCGCGGATAACATGATCATCTGACTGAAAGAGACAAAATGACATTGCGCAGGATTATGACCTGGTATAAGAAAAACAACTGCTGCTAAAGTGACTGCAGAGTTCAGTCTTCACAGATTTGTAAATGCTGCAGGAAGGAGGATTGCGGTAAAATTAAGGTTTAGTATATTTTTTGTTTAAAATGTAAGCAATCCCAAATTTATGGTCCCCTTCTTCTACCTTTTTTTTTTATTTTATATATATATATATATATATATATATATATATATATATATATATATATATATATATATATATATTAAAAAAAAGTGGTTATTAAATACCAATAAAAAGCTCTGTCTTTAAAAAAAAATAATTTAGTTTACATTATTTTGTCACAGAGCAAAGCTGGCCATACACGTATAGATTTGTCGTTCAAGAATTTTCATTTCAAGAATATTCGTTTGATTTTCTAATCGTTAATGGGGTCAAATTGATGTTTGTTTTCAACTACAGTGACGGGAAAATTCAAAGGGGCAGGAAGGAAAACTTCTCTCGATCAAACAAATTTTTGGCCAGTATATGTGGTTATTGTTCAGAAATTACATTCGTTTTAAAATCTAATGTTAAAAGCAAAAGACAATTTTCAAATGACATTCGTCCATTCATCGAATGTTCAAAGAATTTTTGTATGACTTTTGTACGAATATTCTCATCCGAAAATCTATACGTGTATGGCCAGCCTAAGGCTGGATTCACACTCAGTAGCTGTTCCTGCACCCACAAACACCCGCAGCTAAATCGCACTGCTCTTAAGAAATGCATGGAGTTGCCATTCTTTCTTAATGGCACCCCATGCATCTCAGTCTGCAGTGCGGGTGTGCGGGAACCAAAGGGAAATCGTATTGTCAAAAGCACCATGCAATTTCCCTGCAGCCATGTTTTGAAAAGGGCGCATGCATGTTTTTTTTTTGTGGGAATCGTGGGTGCAGCAGCCCATTCAAATGAATAGGCTGCCGTGCCCATGCAGATGCAGGCCACACAGTATGAACCTAGGCTAGTGGTCAGTTAAACTGTTACAGCAATGGAAAATGGCCAGGTAATAAAGGGGTATTACAGGCTGGTGCTCAAGTGATTAAAGTGGTATTAAACCCAAAACCAAAAATGTAATATATTGAAGCTTAATCCTTACATGTGGTGGCTGCAGTAGTTTTTTAGGCTCATTTTCCTCGGTTTTCACCTGTTGATGTGGTCAGTAACACACCTTCTGTATTAGTGCCCCCACTTTGGATTAAGGAGCACAGGGGGACACCTTTGGACAAACTTGTGGGGAGGGGCGGCTGTTAGATGTACAAACAAATTGAAGCCAAACACCAGCTAATACTTTAAAAGCAGTTACAGCAAACCGTTTCTTTACTTTTGGGATGAAGGTTATACGTAAACAAAAGCTGATCATTATAAGCACCCTTCTCAGTGGTAAATGGTTTGGCTCAACCCTCTAACTGCCACATCTGCAGAACAGCTTGTTCTTTTAAAAAACAGACTTACTGGCAGGATCACAGGTGAAAATAAAGGAAAGAACACCTAAAAAAAAAAAGAAAACTAATATAGCCATCACATCTAAGACATGGTAAGCTGCAAGATAATAACAGTTTGTTTTTTGGTTTAATACCACTTTACAAATTATGTTACTCTGATTCCTGAATATTTTTTTAATCTCAGACAGATCTAATTGTGATAAATGGTATTTATGGTGCACTTTCTTTCTTTTGATAAAGACTGTTTCTGCGTGGATCCAGAACCTGTCCACAAGATTGATTGGAAGGAAAAGGTGAAAATTAAGGAAGAGTTTAAAGAGGAGAAGATTTCTTCCAGTGAGTATGAATGAAAGATGGTTCTTTTCTTGATTTGCCAGCAACCAGAGACGTAGCCCTTCCTGGCCCATATAGCTGTCAGCCGAGAATGTAAACAAAGGGATGGGATAACAACAAAATATAACATGCACGTAGGCTATACTTGTAAAGAAAGCTACTAGCACAGTTTGTTGATGGCAAACCCCGATATATGTTAAAGATAAATATGCAGCGCTAAAACAATATTGAATCAAAAATGAATAAAACAAATAATGTGCTCAGGTAATAAAAAAGAAATCCGTGTCAGAAGACGTATACCATATACAGTCTACGTGCAACTAAAAAAAATTCTGGGAACTGTGCTGAAATGATGACTTCAATGGACTCCAGTGCTAACAATAAAAAAGAATCTTCCGTGCATGAGAGGCATCACCCAAATTGACATATCACCACTGTGGACAGGACCAGCAACACAAACAACTTAACAAATTGGATTGACCCTCAAAGAGTGGTCATTTAGTGCTTGAGAACAAAACACCAGGAAGCTCAATTGAATGATGCTCCTCTGTTCCTTATTAGACAGTCCAACATTTCAGGAATTTAAAAAAATGGTGGTCTCATGGTGTAGTGATGGACAGAAAGAACTTAGTTTATTAAAAACACAGGTTTTACACTCACTTGGTATCATGTACAAACAGGCAGATCAGTAAAAGCAAATAAAATTGACTCGGCCACAGCTGCTTACATGATGAAGTCACGTCAGGCTCCACCCTACATGTTTCGTCATAAAAATACTTTGTCAGACATCACTCTCAAATAGGATGGCAGAAGATGCTCAACCCAGAAAAGGACTAGGTTAAAATGTCACAGAGAGCGGTGATGGACATATGGGACACTTTGCTAGATGAGTCTACCATAATGTGCAACTATGTTGTCCATACTGGTATATTATGGCAGAAACCCTGAGTGCTGGCAGTGGAGTTTAACTTCGTTTTAATAAGCCCTGACCCTGCTTCTCAAGGCCGCCTTCTTGGATGTGATTTCAGCAGACTCGGCACTGTCACTCAGGTGACTCTCTATAGCATTCCCCTTCACTCATCCCCTGGCTGAAACAAAAAGTGATGCAGGGAGGTTAAAGGAGAGGCAAAGTTGCGGGGACAGTATTGGACACTTCCAGAAGAGGTGAGGATTATTTTGTACAAGGAGTGAGGGATATGTGTTAGGGCACAGGTGTCAAACTGGCAGCCCTACAGCTGTTGCCAAACTGTAAGTCCCATGAGGCATTGCAAGATTGACCGTTGCAAGCATGACTCCCAAAGGTAGAGGCATGATGGGACTTGTAGTTTCTCAAAAGCTGGAGGGCTGCCAGTTTGACACCCCTGCGCTAGGGAATTGACTCTTCATGAAGTAGTCAAATTTTCAAGCAAGTTCAAACGGACATTACAAGGGAAAAAAATATAATTTATGGAATGGTAAAACACTACAGGCAAACATTTAAAATATTTGATTTTCCTGTGCGTTTACTTGCATTTTTTTAAGCTGGTGACAGGGTCTTGTTATGCTTGATTCTGCCTGCGTCAGTAGAATGTAGTATCTGTAGAAGGGAGCATTAATGTTCACTTTTTAAATAAGACATTGTCTCTGCTTTTTACTAACATTGGGATAATACAGGACCCTTCTGAAGTCACTGAATCCCATATTTTACCACAGATTATAGATTAAGGTTATATAGATTGTGGAGACAATATTACAGTTCATTCGAAGATTGCACTGATGGGGAAAAAAATAATATATGTTCTTGCCCACAGCGGATGTGAAGACAACAAAAAGCAATACCCCTTCCAATGGCAATGATACCAAGCCAATGACTGCTGAAAATGTTGCTGAAATTGGTAAGGGAAGATTTTACGGTCTTCTAAAATATATAAAGTATTTCTCTTTTTTGAAACCTTTGGCATTACGATGACTTCCATGTCTGCATGAGACATTATTGATGTAGTGCTGGACAAATGGAACCAGAGTATATGGCGGGGGACAGGCAGGCATCTGACGCACCCAGAAGAGTCACTGTAATGAAAGCAGTAAATTTAAAGTGGTTGTAAAGGCTCAAAGTTTTTTGTACCTTCGTGAGTTCTATGAGGGGGGGGCGCCAAGCTGCATGTGTGAATGGACACATGGTGCAGTGGCTTGGGAACAGCCTGCTCAGGTGCCCCCATAGCAAGCTGCTTGTTATTGGGGTCCCAGACAGAAAGGAGGAGCCAGGAGCGCTGGCAGGGGACCTGAGAAGAGGAGGATCCAGGCTTCACTGTACAAAACCACTGCACACGAAGTATAGACACTTTTTCTTATTTTGCAAAAAAAAAAATGAACCTATAGTATCTCTTTTAAAAATACTGAAAATGATTTCTGAAATTACATTAAAAACTGTTTGTTTGTTTTTTTCCCCCTCTCTGGAGGTGCAAATATTAAAGTATACTTCAAATTGCACATATCTTTTTTGCAGTGTTTGTTTACATCCTGTTGGCAGATTTTCAGTGCACTGGCCACACCTGCTTAGAGGCAAGAGACAATAAAAAGATAGCCCCATAGAACCTCTTAGGAACCTACTGCACATTGTGCAGTCTGCGCACTGAAGGTATGCCAGCAGGAAGCTGCAGGTATGTCTGCAAGGTAGTTATGCATCTGAGGAGAGGGGCTATTTTGGCAGAGTGGGTGGGGATCAAGAAAGGATAAATGTACTTTTTCTATGTTATATGAAACATCTAGAAGTGTTAATTCTGCCCCAGCTACATTACCAACCTGGTCTCAAAATATCAACTAAACTCTTCGATCCTCCCAAGACCTTCTGCTCTCTAGTTCCCATATCACCTCCTCCCATGCTCACCTCCAGGACTTCTCCCAAGCCTCTCCCATCCTATGGAACTCCCTACTACAATCTGTCCAGCTGTCTCCTAATTTATCCACTCTTTTCTCTCAACTGCCTTTAATGTCCTCCATCAGCTCATCCCCCACAGCTATTACCTTTTTGTATTCCTCAACCCTTCCTCCTAGATTGTAAGCTCTAATGAGCAGGGCCCTCTGTTTCCTCTTGTACCAAATTGTATTGTAACTGTAATGTCTACCTTCATTTTGTAAAGCGCTGCACAAACTTTTGGCGATATATAAATCCTGTATAATAATAATCAGTGTCCTCATCAGAGTGCCCAACCTTATATTATCTGATGTACTTAATAGATAAGCCCTGTAGCCAGGCAAGCAGGGTCGGAAGCAGGAACTTGAAGAAGCGTGTTGCAGGGGGCGGGAGCTGGACGGAGAAACTTCCTGAAGAGGGTGGGGTGCATACGTGATGTCATTGGTTGCTAGCACACCAGTGGTAGTTGCTAGGCAAGAACAGTAGTGCAACGGGGATTTGGCACTGTAGACTTGCAGGCAGACAGTCCGGACTGGAGCGTCATTCGGTCTGGACCACAGTCCCCCACTTATTGGAGGCTGGTCTATGCACTAATAAAAATTTGTTCTCTATACTTTCTCCTATGATGAAGTAATGACAAGGAAAAGGGCCATGTGAACAGTTCTTTATATTTGGTTAACTTGTTTAATTTTTTTTTTTTTTTCCTGCAGAGTGGATAGTAGAAGATGTGGTCACCCCATTGCCCCAACAAGACCCATCCAGTAAGGCAGAGGTAAACTACTGGTTTGTGAAGAGGGTGGCGACAAACAACCACAATGACAGGTCCTCCCATTCCCCTCGTGGTCAGGATCAACAAGACCATAAAACTTCCTCACACCCTAATCCATCTGTAAAAGAACACTGTAAAAAGCAAATATCTCCTAGAGACTTGCGGTTCATTTGCCCGGTGTGTCCAGAAACGTTTGGGGTGTCTCAGAATTCTTTGAGCATCAGAAAATCCATGACAATGTTTGTCCAGAATGCGGGGAACAGTTTTCTGATAAGTCAGCTCTTGAAGGACATCTACTACTTCACCTGGAAGACAAGATACGCATATGTGAGGAGTGTGGTCAGTGTTTCGGCACTCAGGCCGAGTTGGAGACCCACCTGAGGACTCACAAAGGAGATAAGCAATGGCTGTGTAATCAGTGCGGAAAATGTCTTTACTCAAAGTCTGGTCTTGACAGGCACCGGCTCATCCATATACGAGATAGACTTGTACCTTGTCCGCAATGCGGAAAATGTTTTGCAAAACAGTCAAACTTTGAAATGCACTTGCGTCTCCACGCTGGCGAAGAGATGTACCCGTGTACGCTGTGCGAAAAACTCTTCCCCACAAAATCTGCCTGTGAAAGGCACATCAGAGCCCACACCATGGAGCGTCCCCATGCCTGCCCAGAATGTGGCAAGAGATTCCTGTACAATGGCTGTCTAATTAAACACATGCGTGTTCACACAGGGGAAAAACCATATGTCTGTGATCTATGTGGGAGACGGTTTGCCCAAAGCTCCAGTCTGAACAGCCACCGGCGGCTGCACGAGGATGAAAAGCCTTTTGTTTGTACGGAATGTCAGAAGTGCTTTAGCAAGAAATTCAATTATGAGATGCACATGAAAATTCACGCCAAGGAAAGGCTGATTGAACAATTAGCTCGACTAAAATGTGACAGTGGTGATAAGATCCTGACGCTTTCTGGGGAGGCGGATAATAGTAAACCTTCTAACCATGCCATGTTTACTGAGAAGACTGCTTTGGACATCAGGGTGTCGGATGTTGGTGTTTCAGCCAGTGAAAGCGCCAGTAGAGGTGTTGTCAAGATCCCAGGTTCAGATATCTTACCTGGAGGTAGGCCCACCGGAGATGTCATGTTGGACAAGACTCTGCTTGCCTCTTTTAATAAATCTACTAAAGATGTCGCTGTTAATGACAGCTCTTTAGGAGATGCTACTGGTGCACCACCCAATAAAGATTCCTCATTTGGTGAGGGCGCTGTGAGTGATGGCTTATCAGGCAACACACCAGATAAAGATGTCTCACTAAGTGATGAGTCCATAAGATATGTCTCACCTAGTGACAGGCCCAGAACAGGTGTCTCCTTGAATGAAAACATATCCATAGATGTCTCTCTTAGCGAGTCATCCATGACAGATGAATCATTTGGTGAGATGTCCGATGATGACCTCCTAAACGAGGAACTGTGGCAATCAAATCCGGAAGAACGTCAACACATCTGTCCCGAGTGTGGGAAGAGCTTCCTCTACAATGGCTGCCTGGTCAAGCACCTGCGGACCCATACGGGAGAGAGACCTTTCGGTTGCCCGGAATGTGGAAAATCTTTTTCACAGAAGTCCACGCTCAACTGCCACATTAGAAGTCACACGGGCGAACGGCCCTTTTTGTGCCCACTGTGCGGTAAAGGCTTCACTAGCCAGTCCCACGTTGCCCGTCACCAGGTGGTTCACCGGTCAGACCAATCATTCTCATGTAACGGGTGTGGGAAAGAGTTTACGGTGAGGTCTTATTTGTTAAAACACCAGAGGAGAAAAAACTGTGTTAGAAAACTCTCTGACTTTTACCTTTTTTAAATATAAATAGTTTACTTTTGTTAATATGTGTGTTTTCTGTTTTTTTATTCAATGGATCATTTTCAAAATGATTGTCTTTTTTTATCCATGGACCTATCATGTGCCCCGTATGATGATTAAATGTAATATTTTTAGGTGCTGCAGATTACAACGTGACCTTTTACTGTAGCCGTTCCGTTTCCAATGTTGCTTCTAACATGTCAGTGGGCAGGCAAAGCTGAATCTATTTGCCATCATCTTCAGGTTTTACCTAGGTTTACATTGATACGTCTCTGTGAGCTGCTATTTGCACGCACATGATAGCTCATTCGTTTGAATGTGCTGTCATGTCTTCTGAAACGCTGGGAAAAGGTCCCTGATGCTTTTTATAAATCGCAGCCTGGGGCGGACTGACCATTTGGAAACTCGGGCACTGCCCGAGGGCCCGGGGTCAGTAGGTACCTGGTACCTTTTTTCATAGGCTTTTTTGAGTTTGAGCAAGGACACAGGGGCCCATGAGTTGTCAGTCCGCCCCTGATCGCAGCCCACACGGGAACTGCAAGTGCAGTGCAGCTCCCAGTGTGGGAGCCATTACCAGTTTGTGCGCTGTGCCATTAGGATTAATGGCACCCCACACACATCTCTTGCGTTTTCACTGTGAAGGTGGTTGCAGCTGCAGGCACAGTGGCAATCATCCACACAGATGTTAACCTATCTCTAAAACTTAGAGGAGCGTCAGTCACTTTGCTTTGCAAACTATAGATGCTGACTTTTAATAAACATACTCAGCTGTCCAAGGATCCAGCGCTGTCCTTACCCAGACCGATTCTTCACTGGTCTTTGGTCACCTAGTGCCGGCATGTTAATTGTGGGCAGCTGACTGACTCCTTACAGTTTCACAGCTGGCTTCCCACTGCGCATGTGCAAGCCATGCTGCGCTTTGTGAATGGCCCTGCAGTCTTCTAGGACCTGTGACGTCCTAGAAAGACATGGGCCAGGAGAGGGGGGGTAGAACTTCCAGTAGATCTGTCGTGGCGATCTGACCGAAAGCAGGAGCAGGAACCTGTCAAAAACAGGTCTAGTAGGAAGAAAAAACCGAATGCCTGAGCTCCTGCACTGGACAATGGACTCCACAATGTCAATATCCCCACATGTGTATGAAAGGAATGCAAGCCTTGCTGCCCTCAACTGACCAGGGAAGTCCAAAGAGAGCTGTATATGAAAAGAGGGCGTACGGGCCTAGTACATTACCTTTTTAAAAATGAGATTTATTGATATAAAGTAAAATGTAAGAGAAATAAAATCAAATGGAAAGCATGTCACAAGAGATGTAGTGTGGTGCAAGACCCCTGAAGGTAGTCTGGGTGGGGGACTGTAGACCTCTGAATAGCTGATGGTTGATGCGTTTCAAGGTTGTACCTGAGGAAGAGGTACAACATCGAAGTGTGGCTCTGAGGAAGAGGTACAACCTCGAAATGTGATGGGGCGCAGGATGTCACACAGCATTGAAAATTGAGCTGTGCTTTACTGCCATTAAACGGCAGTGTGTAATTATTATTATTATACAGGTAGCGGGGTTATACGTTCCCCACTTTCCCTCACTGTCTACGGGCAGCTGGCAGATGAGGCAAACTAAAACTTCTATGTGCCCAGTAGGAGAGAGGGCGCAATGTTAGGGATTTGGATTTTTTAAATACCTCTCTTCTGTTCCCTAACAAGTGGCTGGGGATTTGGATTTTACCACCCCCCAACCTGGCACCCTAAGGTCACACCCCCCACATAACGCCAGCTTGATCACTCACCGACCCCCCCCCCCCCCCCCCCCTCCCAGGTTCTCCTCATTTTGATCACATCCCCCACATACCACCAACCTGATCACACACTCCCCCAGGTATTTATCATTTTGCTTCCCCTCACATAACGCCAGCCTAATCACACACCCCCCCCCCCTCCCCCCCAGATGCTCCTCACTTTAATCACATCCCCCGCTTAATGCCAGCCTGATCACACCACCAACCTGATCACACCCGAATCCCCACATGGCCAACCTGATCACACCTCCCCCATATACCACCAACCTGATCACACAACCCCCTTGCATAACTGCAACCTGATCACACCCCCACATATCCCCAACCCTTCCCCATAACACCCCGGTGACATCAAGCCGACTTTCAAATCGTGCGACTTGCAGTGGATGTTTGTTTGCCTGTTGGGGGGTGAACAGGCATTTTAAAAATCTGAATTCCTAGCAAGTGGCTAGAAAATTACTTAGAACCCCCAAACATTCTATATATTTTTAAGCAGAGGCCATGGAGAATAAAATGGTGGTGTCTAATTTTTTTTCACACAATAATTTGCGCAGTGGTTTTTCAAAAGCAAATTTTTGGGGAAAAAAATGCTTTTTAACCACCTACCCGCCACCGTATAGCAGATATACCGCTACACGGCGGCACAGGTTCTCAATCATATATATATATATATATACAGTCATGGCCGAAATTGTTGGCACCCTTGATATTTCTCCAGGAAATCATGTATTTCTCACGAAACGTATTGCATTAACACATGTTTTGCTATACACATGTTTATTCCCTTTGTGTGTATTGGGACAAAACAAAAAAAGGGAGGAAAGAAAGCAAATTCGACATAATGTCACACAAACCTCCAAAAATGGGCTGGACAAAAGTATTGGCACCCTTTCACAACTGCGGATAAATAAGAATGTTACAAGCATGTGATGCTCCTGTAAACTCACCTGGGGCAAGTAACAGGTGTGGGCAATATAGAAATCGCACCTGAAAGCAGATAAAAAGGAGAGACGTTCACTTAACCTTTGCATTGTGTGTCTGTCTGTGCCACACTAAGCATGGACAACAGAAAGAGGAGACGAGAACTGTCTGAGGACCTGAGAACCAAAATTGTGGCAAAATATCAACAATCTCAAGGTTACAAGTCCATCTCCAGAGAACTAGATTTGCCTTTGTCCACAGTGCGCAACATTATCAAGAAGTTTGCAACCCATGGCACTGTAGCTAATCTCCCTGGTCGTGGACGGATGAGGAAAATTGATGAAAGATTGCAACGCAGAATAGTCGGATGGTGGATAAGCAGCCCCAAACATGTTCCAAAGACATTCAAGCTGTCCTGCAGGCTCAGGGAGCATCAGTGTCAGCGCGAACTATCCGTCGACATTTAAATGAAATGAAACGCTATGGCAGGAGACCCAGGAGGACCCCACTGCTGACACAGAGACATAAAAAAGCAGACTACAGTTTGCCAAAATGTACTTGAGTAAGCCAAAAGCCTTCTGGGAAAACGTCTTGTGGACAGATGAGACCAAGATAGAGCTTTTCGGTAAAGCACATCATTCTACTGTTTACCGAAAACGGAATGAGGCCTACAAAGAACAAAACACAGTACCTACGGTAAAATATGGTGGAGGTTCAATGATGTTTTGGGGTTGTTTTGCTGCCTCTGGCACTGGGTGCCTTGACTGTGTGCAAGGCATCATGAAATCTGAGGATTACCAAAGGATTTTGGGTCGCACTGTAGGGCCCAGTGTCAGAAAGCTGGGTTTGCGTCCAAGATCCTGGGTCTTCCAGCAGGACAATGACCCCAAACATACGTCAAAAAGCACTCAGAAATGGATGGCAAAGAAGCGCTGGAGAGTTCTGAAGTGGCCAGCAATGAGCCCAGATCTAAATCCCATTGAACACCTGTGGAGAGATCTTAAAATTGCTGTTTGGGAAAAGGTGTCCTTCCAATAAGAGAGACCTGGAGCTGTTTGCAAAGGAAGAGTGGTCCAAAATTCCGGGTGAGAGGTGTCAGAAGCTTATTGATGGTTATAGGAAGCGACTGATTTCAGTTATGTTTTCCAAAGGGTGTGCAACCAAATATTAAGTTAAGGGTGCCAATACTTTTGTCCAGCCCATTTTTGGGGTTTTGTGTGACATTATGTCATATTTGCTTTTCTGCCTCTGTTTTATATTTGTTCCAATACATACAAAGGGAATAAACATGTGTATAGCAAAACATGTGTTAATGCAATACCTTTTTTGTGTGAAATACTTGATTTTCAGGAAAAATATCAAGGGTGCCAACAATTTCGGCCATGACTGTATATATATATATATATATATATATATATATGATTGTGCATTTTCGGGTAGGAGGTGCGCGCGCCCCACCTGCACTGCCATTCGCGGCTGCGGATGTTAATCACCAGGTCCCGGCTGGTGATTACCCGCCGGTGCCCGGTGATTACCGACAATCACCGACAGGAGGAAGACTGTTTTTTGATTACAAACAGTCTTCCTCCCTCTCAGCTCGGGTACACTGCTCGGGATGGCTGTGCACAGCCTATCCCGTTCAGTGTGCTTACAGTGAAGCACACGCCCCCTAGTAAAACACTCCCTACACACAGTTGACCCTTTGATTGCTCCTCACATTAACCCCTTCCTGCTCAGTGTCATTAGTACAGTGTCAGTGCTGTTTTTTATCATTGATCACTGTATTGGTGTCACTGGGGATGTTCCCTCAAGTGTCAGAATGCCCACTGCAGTCCCGTAAAAAGTCGCTGATCGCCGCCATTACTAGTAGGAGAAAAACAAATCCCAGTATCTATACCGCCATTTGTAAATGCTATAACTTTTATCCAAACCAATTAATTTACACGTATTGGGATTTTTTCTTTTTAGCAAAGACATGGAACAGAATACATTTTGGCCGAAATTTATGCCGAAATTAGAATTTTTAAAAAAAATATTTTACTGGACATGTTTAATAGCAGTCCAAAATATAGCCCTTTTTTTTCTCAAAATTGTTGGTCTTTTTTTCCTTATAGCGTAAAAAATGCACAGGTGATCAAATACCACCGAAAGCGCAATTCGCGGGGGGAAAAAAGGATGTAAATTTCATCTGGGTGCAGCGTTGCATGACCGCACAATTGTCAGTTGAAGTAACGCAGCGCCGTAATGCAAAAAATGGCCTGGTCAGGA